AGAAACCTAGACCCAAGCAGCAGGACGGAGCCACGGAGGGAGTATGAACCCCAGATGCAGGAAACCAAACCAGCGGGTGTGGGTGAGAGCAGAGCCATCTGTCCCCACTGATGTCCCTCAGTGACAGAGCTCCCTTAAAAGATGGCAGAGTGTCGTGGTTGCCAGGAAGCCAGGACAGCACTGGGGTCTGGAACTCGGCCCCCCACGGGGTCTGTGATGTTGGGTGACTTCCTGGCCCCTCGGCCTCCTAGTCCATCCGTGGGGCCAGAGTCGCCCTGCACGCTCCCTCTGCCCGGATGGCTCTGCCTCAGAGCTGCGGGGCTCCCTGCCCAGCCACACAGACAGGGACGTCCCTGCCTTGGGTACTGTATGAACCCGACGCGTCCCTTCTCATCCCTCACAGGGCCGGCCAGAGGGAGCTGGCCAGAGGGAGGCACCTGTCACCATCAAGAGGACACAGGCGGGGGGCACCCACCCCCAGCCGGGGGCAGGTTGGGGTCCCCAGGTGCTAAGGCTCAGGAGACACTGTCCTGCCCAGACGGGGACACATGCGCTGTCAGGAGGGGCCGGCCAGGGTGCCAAGTTGTGTTGCAAAAATAGATGGAGGGGACCAGGGATTTAGCTCAGTGTTTCTGCCACCTGCCCCCCAAGTGCAAGGTCTCCAATTCAATCCGAGGTACCAAAAAAAAAAAAATAGACGGAGGCTTCAGGACAGGGCACCTGCTCCAGCATGAGTGTGAGCCTGTGCATTCGTGCGTGCGTGTGTGTGTGTGTGCATGTGTGTGTGTGTGTGTGTGAGTGGGCAGCGGCAGAGGGCACCTGGCAGGAGCAGGGTCCCATCCACGTGGCCGCTGGTCCAGCAGGTCAGGTGGGACACACAGGAAGGTGGCATCTTGCATTGTCTCCAAAGCAAGGAGAGCTGTTAAAGGGCTTAATTTTTCTTTTTTCCTTAAATATTTTTTCCTAGCCCTAGGGATTGAAACCAGGCCCTTCACACTGAGTTACATCCCCAGCCCACCTATTTTTTATTTCAAGATAGGTTCTCACTAAAGTTGCCCAGACTGGAAGAAAACTTGTGATCCTCCTGCCTCAGCCTCCTAGTGCTGGGATTACACCAGGCTCCCCAGCTTGTTTTGAAAGCGCCAAAGACAGCAAGTGAAGCTCCACCCCAGGTGGGCAGCACATGTAGGCTCCACTTGCAGGGGTCTTGCTGTATTCTGGCCTGGCTGTTGTCTCTCTTCATCCTCCCAATGACTCGTCCCATTTCACAGGTAAAGAAACTAAGACTGGGAAACAAAGTCCAGCAACTCCCGAGTCCACGGCCAGCCGGGCCTGGATGTGCACTGACGGCCCCTCCCACTGAGGTTATCTCTGCTGCCCTCAGCACCAGAACCCGAGCTCCGGGTGGGGTGGGGTGCGCTAGGAAACTGAGGAGAGGGATGTAGAGGACAGGGTCGCCAAGGAGAGAGGGGCCACAGAAGGAAACAGAAGAGCCAGGGAGGTCAAACAAATAATATAAAAGAGGGGTAATCTATGAAATAATAATAATATAAAAGAGGCACGCTTGTAATCCCAGCACTCGGGAGGCTGAGGCAGGAGGACTGCCATGAGTTCGAGGCCCACCTGGGGTACATAATGAGTTCAGGGCCAGCCTGAGATTCATAGCGAGACCCTGCCTCTCCCTCACCCACCTGCCAAAAAAAGAGAAGCAAATAGAGTTACCCCAATGCATCAGAAATTGTCTCTCAGCTGCTGTGCTGGGCTGTGACCAGGACTTTGGACTGGACGCAGCTACTCCCAGTCAACAGTGCCTTGAACTGGGCCTCGAATCCATAACAATAATCTCATTTTCAGAGGCTGAGCATGCCTCCTAATTTATTAATTTATTCGCTCATTTGCAGTTGGCCCCTATGCCCTCCACAGCGTGAATAATCGAGAATTCACAAAAATTCTGGGCAGAGTCTAAGAGCAAACGAGAAGAAAAGTTGAGCACAGGTCCATCCGAGTCTCCTCCAGGTGCTAACAACCTCTCCACAACTAAGTGCAACAGAGCCGGGGTGGATGGTGACACACGCCTGTAACCCCAGCACTCTGGGAGGCTGAGGCAGGAGGATCACAAGTTCCAGCCCAGCCTGGGCAGCTTAGCAAGACACTGTCTCAAAACAAGGGCTGGGATGTGGGTTGTTGCAAAGGGCCCTGAGTTCAGGGCCTAGTACTGAAAATAAATTAAATAATAAATAAAATAATATACATATATAAATTACAAGTTACGTGGCATTATTGTGTCAGTGTCATCCTAGTGCTTTATGCAGATGAATTATTTTCATCTTCAACTGTATCAATGCATCGTTATCCCCACTTCACAGACGAGGAAACTGAGGCACAGAGAGGGGAGGGGACGGCCAAGGTCACACCCCAGGAAGAGGGGCGGCCCCCTCTGATTGGGCTTGGCTGAGGGTTGAAGGAGCGCAGCCCCCAGAGCCAGAGCCTGGACTCTGCCATCCTCGGGCCTGGAGAGGCGGAGAGGGGCCTGAGGAGTGCGGAGCACAGCCAAGCCTTCCTGCATTCCAGGCAGAGGAATGAATGACATGAAAGGGAAATTCCACCAGGAAAAGAAAGAATTTCTGAGGGTTCCGGCCTCAGCTCTGATTTCAGAGCTGTGGCATCTTCGCTGAGTCACAGGGGCGCCCTGAGAAGGACGGGGTGAGCGAGTGTCAGCCCCTGGGCTGGGCAACGAGTCACCCTGGTGTTTTTTGGTACTAGGGATGAACCCAGGGCCTTTGCACTGAGCTACCTCCCCAGCCCTTTAGCTTTCATTCTTTTGATACAGAGTCTCTCCAAGTTGCTAAATTGCCCAGGCGGGGTTCAAACTTGCCATCCTCCTGCCTCAGCCTCCCAGAGTGCTGGAATTACAAGTATGCGACACCACGCCCGGGTCCTCTGCCCTGCTCTGAAGAGAGCAGGCTGACCAGGAGTAGCTCTGCTCCCTCATCCTACGACCCTGGTGTCCTCCCAAGTACACGATATCCTTAGTGAGGGCCTGAATGAAAAGTTAAGTCATTCAACAAATATTTACTGAGTAGGCTCAAGGCTTTGCAATCGGACACTCCTGGATTTGAGTCCAGCCCTACTGCTCAGGGATCTGAACAAGGGATGAGGCCTCTGCTTTGTGCTCTATAAAATGGGTGGATTCCTTTCAGCCAGCCAGCCAGGGTGAGGCTGAGGGAGGCAAGGGTGTGGGCACATAGCAGGCACCGCACACAGAGATGGAGCTGCTATGTGCCAGGGAATCACGGGACAGTCTGGTCCCCGGGGGGTCACAGTCCCTTGGGAGGGGAAATAGAGATGTCATGAATCCACAGGGCGACTCCAATTCCCAAGGCCGCTGACACACAGGAAAACAACCCAAGTTCCAAGCTGGGGCGGGCCCATCAGAAGGTCCTGGGCAACAGGCCAGGGATTTAGCTCAGTGGTTCCACTGTCTGCCTTGCAAGCTCGAGGACCAGAGTTCGATCCCCGGTACCAAAAAAAAAAGGTCCTGGGCCAGGCTTCTCCAAGAATTTGTGACCAACACAGGTCTGTTAAAATGCAGGCTCTCCACCAGGCATGGTGGTGCACATATGTAATCACAGCACCCAGGAGGCTGAGGCAGGAGGATCGCCATGATCTGGAGGCCAGCCTGGCCTAATAGTGAGACCCTGTCTCAAAACACAGACAAACAAATGTAGACTCCCATTCAACAGTTCTGCTAGAGCCTGAGAGCTGCCTCTCTCTCTCTTCTCTCTTCTTTCTTTCTTTCTTAAAAAAAATCAGAGTGACTCAGATGAAGACTGGGCTGAATCCTGGCTCACAGCACACGCTACGCCGAAGGCGAGTCCTGACCCCCAGAACCCCCCTTTCCCACCTGTAAAGTGGCGCTGTGCAGTGTCCCATCACACCAAGTGGTGAGGATGATGCCACGAGGCCTGAAAGTGCCAGGTCTCAGGCCAAGGACCCTGGCGGTCAAGGCATCATGGCAGCACCAGGCGCCCATCGATGAGGCCTCCTGCCTGCGGCCTACATGGACGGTGAAAGGGACACCAAGCTGGAGGGAGGGGTGCAGGCTGGGGACGGCCTGGCCTAGGTCAGCTGTCTCGCCCGTGTCAGGGCAGCATCAGGAGACCCAGAAAGCCTGGGAGGCTATGGATCCGAGGCGGATTACAGATGTCTGGGGTCACCACACAGCTCCCATACCAACCCGCTGTGCCAGGTCCTGGTGACACCACAAGACCTTCCCTTGCCCCACATGGGAATCCCTGGGCTAAAGTGGCCACACCAGCCTCTGAACCCCAGGCTCTGAAAGCTGATGAACCAAACCCAGGTTTCTTCTCTCTCTCTGTCTCTCTCTGTTACACACACACACACACACACACACACAACACTGGCATTTATTTATAATAGTAAAAAACATTCCAATCAGAAAAGAGCCTTAAATAACTGGGCTTGGCACATGCCTATAATCCCAGCACTCAGGAGGCTGAGGCAGGAGAGCACCACAAATTTGAGGCCAGCCTGGACTGCATACTGAGACCCTGCCTCAGAGAAAAAAAAAAAAAAGAATTAAATTATGCTCTTATAATAGAATATTATACTAAAGTTATATCATACTATACTGTATAGACTCCTATACTATCATAATATTATGTATTATGATTGAATATTAAAAGCAACATGGGGGCTGGGATGTAGCTCAGTGGCACCAAGCCTACCTGGCAAGTACAAGGTCCTCAGTTCGATTGCCGGTACTGAAAAAAAAAAAAAAGCAACCATGGGGTTGGGGTAAAGCTCAGTGCTGATGTGTACTTAGCATGTGTGAAGCCCTGGGCTCAGTTCCCAGCATCATGAATGAATGAATGAATGAATGTGTAAGTGCGAGACTGCGTGCGCGCGCGCGCACACACACACACACACACACACACACACACACACACACACACAGGGTGGCCGCCACTCCAAAAGCCTGCGCTGGACTGGGTTTGGCTCCCCGCCCACCGGGTCCCAGCTGTGTGACCTTGACGCGTCCTTCTCTGCACTGGAAATGACAACAATCATAAAAGAGCCCCAGTGGCACAGCCCGACCTCCTGCCTGGTTTCTGTGTTGTGTTTATCGGTGCCGGGGTCAAACCCAGGCCCTGCACGGCAGCCGAGCCCTGCCACTGCGGGACAGAGACCCCTCCGGAGTCGGGTATGCCACTTTCTGGTGTGTGTGTGTGTGTGTGTCCCCCGCTTCTTGAGTCATTCGTGAGGCCCTTCCTCCCCCACTTTCCCAACTGTCCACAGGCTCTGTACTCACAGGGACTTAGGGGATACCAGGGAAGCAAAAGCTGCGTGTGGTGGTGCAGGCCTATAATTCCAGCTCGCGGGAGGCGGAGGCAGGAGAATCGCCACAAATTCGAGGCCAGCTTATGCTACATAGTGAACTTTATCTCAAGAATGGGGCGGGGGGGCGGGGGCTGGTTTCAGGGCTCACTTTAGTCTGGTGGGAAAACAGCAGCCAGCACTGCCCGATTAGCCCCGTGACACTGTGCGCTGCCCACAGCTTGAAGGGGAACTCGCTGCTGTGGGCAGAGGGCTCCTGATGGGGTCCCAAGTGGCCCTGTCCCACTCAACAGCAGCCCCGGTCACAGGCAGGCAGCCGGCTGAGAAGCACTGCACGCCTCGGTGCCCCCCTTACTTCTTCCCGGAGGTGAGCTCGACACCGGGTCCATTTAACCTTGAGAAGGGGCTGGCATTTCTCCTGGGCCTGTCAACGTCTCACAGTTCTTGGCCACCAGCACGATTGGGCTAATTCATAATATGGCCATCATAATCCCCCTGTCGATGATGCTTAACCATTTTATTATGATTTTACATTTCACTTTTCAGAGACAGGTTCTTGCCCAGGTTCTTGAACTTCTGGGCTCAAGTGATGCTCCTGCCTCGGCCTCCTAAGTAGCTGGTGTTACAGGCAAAGGCCATTTTAGAAAGTGCTTTTCCCTCTCAACTGATTTCATCTCCACGGGGACTCTGGCAGATGCCAGCTGCAGAAACTCAAGTGAAGCGAGTAGGATAAAACAGAATAAACACCACAGTGCATAGAAAACCCAATTTGACAGCAAATTTATCGGTGGGACCCAAGGGCTCCTGTTGGGGACACTGCCAGGCCAGACAAGGGTCCAGCCACTAAGCTCTTATTTTGTTTGTTTTGTTTTTTTGGAGACAGGGTCTCACTGTGTAGCTCAGGCTGGCCTCGAACTCGGGGTGACCTTCTTGCCTCAGCCTCCCAAATGCTGGGACTTCAGGTGTGCGCCACCATGCCCAGCGTTCCATTCTGTTTTAAATTCACTCTGCACATTTTCTTTTTCTTTTTTTATTTTGGTACCTGGATCAAACTTGGGACCTTGAGCTTGCGAAGCAGGGGGCGGAACCACTGAGCTAAATCCCCAGCCTGCTCTGCACATTTTCACCCCAGCAGTTCTGTTTTAATCATCTACTCCTCAAAGTTTGATTCTTCTTTCCAGCCCTGGGTGCAGATGAGATCAGACAATGAAAAAATTCCAGGTTCTGGGTTTTCAGCTTAAGGATGCTCAACCTGTATATATGAAAAGATGGAGGTTCTGAGAAATTGTAGTAATGAAACTATTTTGTGAGCAGGGCGTGGTGGCTCACACCGGTCAACACCACAGCTCTTGGGAGGCTGAGGCAGGAGGATCACAAGTTCCAGCCCGGCCTGGGCATTTTATTGACTTAGCGAGATGTTGTCTAGAAATAAAAAGGGCTGGGGATGTAGTTCAGTGTGAAAACCCTGGGCTCAGTCCCCAGTACGGCAGAAACACAAAACAGAAGAAACAACAAACTTGTTTGTGTCTGGGAGATCAGCCTTCAAGGTCTGCCGAGTGGGGTGGGAGGGGCGAGGTCCCTCGGGTGGCCTGGGTCACACCCTCCCGGCTCAGCCCAGGTGCCTCCCATCACATGTGCTGGACAATTTGCATGTTCACTGCCCAGGGGTCCAACCCCAGCACCCAGTCCTTCTAGGCTCCTGTGTGTTTGTTGATGACTCAATGAGGGCGAGAGGTCCAGCCTGAGGCCCAGAGAGAGGAGAGAGAGAGAGAGAGAGAGAGAGAGAGAGAGAGGATATCTCAGAGGTGCTGAACTCAGCCTGACTGAATTATTCACTTTCCCCACCCCGGTTCCCAGAAATGGACACTTCAGAGACCAATAAAATTTCCCCCAAAATTTTGAAGGCAAAAAACTGAGGTTGTTGCCAAGCGAGGTTACAAGGAAAAGAACTCAGAGTCTCATCTGCTATGCTTCATGAATAGAGACCACCTAAGTCCCAGCCCACGGGGAGGACTCAGCCAAGGCAGCGCTTGGGATGAAGGAATTTTGTTCTCTAAAAACCAGCACCTGGGTGTAGTGGTACACACCTGAGGTCCCACCACTCTGGAGGCTGAGGCAGGAGGATCTCCCTGAGTTCAAGGCCAGCCTGAGCTACGTAGGGAAATCTTGTCTCAAAAAAACAAAACAGAAAAAAACAAACCAAAAATGAGTTTTGATGACTTGAACAATCCCACAGATAGGTTTGACTAAAGATATAGATGAATATATTTAGCTGGCCAGGTGGTGCACATCTATGATCCCAGCACTTGGGAGGCTGCGGCAGGAGGATCGCTACAAGTTTGAGGCCAGCCTGGGCTACACAGAGGGATCCTGTCTCAAAACAAAACAAAACCAAGAAATACATTTGTATACGTGGATGTGTGTTGTGTAGATGTCAGTACTAGAGCATACGCGTGTTTTTAGGCATACACATTTACTGCATACTAAGTCATAAGGCAAAAGTCCAAACTTTTGTTTATTTTTTGAGACAGGAACTCGCTATGTAGCCCAGGCTGGCCTCAAACTCAGGGGGATCCTCCTGCCTCAGCCTTCTGAGTGCTGTGATTACAGGCATGTGCCACCACACCAGGCTCAAAACATTTTGTTTTTAAAGCCAGTGTTGGTTGGGGGTAGCTCAGTGATAGAACACATGCTTAGCATGCACAAAGCCCTGGATTCTATCCCAGCACACACATATACACACAAATACACACACATGCACATGCACGAAAATCAGTGTTGTAAAGACTATGTATAAGCAGCCAAAATGAAAGTTACAAATCATCAGCAAGTCCTACACACTTGGAAATTTTAAAACATTCTTTCAAATAATCTACAAGGAAATCTTAATGGAAAGTTTTTAAGAACTAGAACTATGATAATGAAAATACCACATATTGAAACTTATAAAATGGCTGGGAGCCAGGCATGGTGCTGCACACCAGTCATCCCAGCACTCTGGAGGCTGAGGGAGGAGGATCATCAAGTTTGAGGCCAGCCTGGGCTGCATAGTGAGTTCAAGTCCAGCCTGAGCTACCAAGTGAGAGCCTGTCTCAAAAACTATAGATAAAATAGAAGCCAGGCATGGTGGCACATGCCTGTAATCCCAGCACTTGGGAGGCTAAGGCAGGAGGATCGCCTTGAGTTTGAGGCCAGTCTGGGCTACATAGAGAGTTCAAAGTCAGCCTAAACTACAAAGTGAGACCGTGTCTCAAAAAACTATATATAAAATAAAAATAAACTTATGAGATGTCTAACCTAAGACCCCACTATTCCAACCCAAAGGTGTTGACGCTTATGTTACAAAGGACTTGGATGAGGGTGGTCACTGGCGCTGACAGCCCCCACCCGAACCGACCCAAATCCCAGTCAGGAAGAGGATCAACGAATGGCGCACACACATCCGCCCTCGAGAATGGGACTTGTGATACACTGCTCCCACCGAACACCACACATGAGGACAGAGAAGCTGGGCAGAGAGAAAACAAAACTTGCTGCATGGTTCCACTCAGCTGAGGTTCCACGTAAGTCCATTCTAACCGGGGTCAGAACAGGCATGACGGAGCGACTGACCCAGAACAGCTGCCTGGGAGTTTCCAGCACAACACAAATCTCCTATGGACATAGGCACAGGTCATTCATTTTTTGTGTGGTGCTGGGGATTGAACACATGACCTTCACACCGAGGTACATCCCCAGCCTTTTTAAATTTTCATTTTATTTATTTATTTATTTATTTATTTATTCACTGAGACAGGGTCTTGCTAAGCTGATAAGTTCCCCGGACTGAACTGGAACTTGGGATCCCCCTGCCTCAGCCTCCTGAGTCCTGGGATGGATGACAGGCATGTGCCACCAGAAGAACAAAAGGATAGGAGGCTGGTGCTTGACAGAGGGGGACAGATGGCCCCTGGTGGCCAGGACGGTGGCTGTATCTCAAAGTCCTGCAGGAGCCAGGACGAGGGCTTTTCAAATGCCTGGGAAGAGACTTCCTGGCCCAGAGGAGGGCAGATTTTATAGAGCGGCAGGAGGTGGGGCCCAGCACCATGGGGGCCTGGCCCCGCCACCACTGTGCCATTCCAGGGAGAGGCAGCGCTGGGCCTCTGCGAGGCTGGGCTGACAGGGCCCGGGGTGTCGCAGATCCCCAGGCAAAAGATGGCATTTGTGAAGCGCAAAATGATGAAAGGACTCGTGCGTGCTTCGGGGAGCCAGAGGGTGGCCAGATCCATCCAGGCCCTGTTTCAAAGCCTCTAGGTTTTTTTCCAAAATGTTGGCGATCGACTAACAAAAACACGCAATGTCTCTTTAAAATAAAAACAGGGAGAAACGGAGCCAGCAGCAAGAGAGGGCCACTCTCGGGGACCTGACAGGGACAGGAAGAAAGGGGCAGCTGGGACATGGAGGCCAGGGCAGCAGCTGGCAGTGCTGAGCCAGGGCTGGGGGAACAAAGGGGCTGAGCTGTTTCCCGCCATCATTTAAGCATTGTTCTGTAGTACTAGGATCGAACCCAGGGCCTTCCCACTGAGCTCCATCTCCAGCCCTTTTTATTTTTTATTTTGAGACAGAGTTTTGCTAAGTCACTAAATTGCCCAGGCTGGGCTTGAACTCACAGCGATTCTTCTGCCTCAGCCTCTCAAGTGCTGGGATTACAGGTGTGACCACTATGCCTGGCTCCATCTTTTTTTTTTTTTTTAATTAAAAGTAAATATCTTCCTTTGAGACAACTCCAACTATTCAGAGGTGCATGCATGTATGCGTGTTTCTGTATGTGCACGTGTGTGTGTGTGTGTGTGTGTGTGTGTGTGTGTGAGTGCATGCGGAGCTACAGAATGACCCAACCCTCACCCTCACTCCTGCTCCCAGCTGTTCACAGTTCTGGGAGACAGAGTTGTTAAAAAATACGAGATTGGGGCGGGAGATTTAGCTCAGTGATTCTGCTGCCTGCCTCACAATCGCAAGGTCCCGAGTTCAATCGCCGGTACCAAAAAAAAAAACGAGATTGTTGGGCATGGTGGCACACATCTATAGTCCCAGAAGAGAGAAGAGAGGAAGGAGGAGAAGCAAGATGAGGAAGAGAGCTCTGCTTGGGAGGCAGAGACAGGGAGGTCTCTCTGCCTTCTCCTAGGCCCAGCTCCTCCACACCAGGGGCACCCCAGGCTGCAGAACGGGCTGTGCAGGGAGCTGGGTGGTGATGGTGCCATCTCCAGGACCCATCCTCCCCGAGGGACCTGTTCTCCCACCAGGTTCCAAGCTGGGCCTTGTGTCACGGTCCTGGAGCTGCGTGGTGCTGCTCTAGTCTGGGTCCCTGTTCTACCAGGAGCAGTGGTGACCAGGGAACGAATCAGAAATGCAGGCAATGGGGTAATGGGCATCACCTTGGTCTAGAGTCGAAGGCTCAGGGTGGAGGACGAAGCAATCAGGGTCTCCCGGGGCCTCAAGGCTGCAGAAGCAGCTGAGCTTGGAAAAGTTCTGTCTGGGCTGAGGCTGAGTCCGATTTCCCCATCCATCTCCCACATATTCATTCTCTCTCTCTCTCTTTCTCCCCATACTGGGGATTGAATCAGGACCTTTGCATCGAGCCACATCTCCAGCCCTTTTTACTTTTATTTTGAGACAGGGTGCCACTAAGTTGCTAAGCTGCCCAGGCTGGGCTGGAACTTGGGATCTTCCTGCCTCAGCCTCCCAGAGCACTGGAATTACAGGTGTGGGCCACTGAGCACAGCACCACATGCTCATCCTTCTGGGAGGCAGTAGTCCACCCTGAACTCCTTCGGAATCCACCTGCTTTGTGCCACAGAGGCTGGAGGCAAAGTCACTAACCTAGGGAGCTGGGGACAGTCCCCCCTGTGCCACCCAGCAGAGGAAGGTGGCATGGAAACCCAGGCCCCTCATTTTCCCTTAACCTTGTCCCCTCCCTGGGGCAGGGGACAGAGCGGGGGGGAGCCACTGAATGATCAGAGGAAATGGGATGTGGCTTCCGCGGGCTCAGAGGGAGGGAGGAGGCCACTGTCCTCATTTCACCCAGCTGCGAGGCACCTGTCCCCGCCAGGAAGCGGCCCTGCTGGCCCGCACCCCCCGGCTAACGGACAGGAAAACTCAGGAGCTCAGGTGGCTGCGGCAGGGCGGGGACAGCTGGCTCCTGGGGTGGAGCAACTGTCCTAGGCCACCCAGCTCTCCGACCAGGCAAAGGCAGCAGGCAGGGTTTGAAGGTCAGGGACTTGCCTGTCCCTGTCCCTGGCCCCTTCAGACATGGGGACATCACTGCCTGCAGCCTGAGATGCCCACAGCTTGAACCTTGCAACATTCCTCAGTGTTGACAGCTCCTCCTCCACCTCTTCTAAGGGACTTTATTTTTTTATTTTTTAAAAATAATTTTGCAAGGGCCAGGGATTTAGCTCAGTGGTTCCACTGCCTGGCCCACAAGTCCAAAGACCTGAGTTTAATCCCCGGTACAAAAAAAAAAAATTTGCAACCGGGCATAGTGGCTCATTTCTGTAATCCCAGCAATCAAGAGGCTGAGGCAAGAGGATTGCTACAAATTCAAGGCCAGCCTGGGCTACATAGTGAGACCCTGTATGTATGTATATATATATATATATATTTGAGGTGCTGGGGATTGAATCCAGGACCTTTGCACTGAACTGTATCACCAGTTTTAATTTTTTTAATTTTTTATTTTGAGACAAGGTCTCACTAAGTTAATGGCCCAAGCTGGGTTCCAACTTGTGATTCTCCTATCTCAGCCTCCTGTGTGCTGAGATTTCAGGTGTGTGCCACCATGCCCAGCTCCACCAGAGATTTTGATTCCCGAGGCGTGGAGTGTGGCCCAGGACCATGTGTTTTTGACACCCTCCCCAGAACTGGTAGAAACCCTGGCCCCACAGTCCTACTCTGAGAAAGTCCGTGGGGTGGAAGGTTCCAGTATCCACTGCTCTGGTGGCCAGGGAGGAAGCAAGGAGCATAAGGGACAGGAAGCCTCCCATCACTGTCCTCCCCCAGAATGAGGACACTGAGGACAAATGCAGGAAGGACATCACCAAGCCCTCCACCTGGAAAGGCAGAAGGCAAGCGTGCATCAGGGTAAACTGAGGCAAGAGACCAAGGGCCACTCAGCCCACTGACAAAACTCAGGGCACTGAGGTTCCTTCTATAGAAACCGACAACTCAGAGTGGGAGGAGACAAGCCCGAAATGTGTCACAGGTCCGGCCGTGAGCAGTGAGTGCCAGGCTGGTGTATATGTGTGTGTGTGTGTGTGTGTGTCGCGGGTGGGGCGGGGGGGGGAGACCAAATCCCGGCAGATCGGGGGACCCAGCGGCCTCAGTGTGGCTGGCACAGGGGGACCACACAGGAGGGGCATAGGGCCAGGCTGGAACGACAAGGCGGGGTACAAGGAGTTGAACTGTGTCCCCCAAAAGAGACCCGAGGCTTTCAGCCCTCTTGTATCTCAGCAGATGTCTTATCTGGAAACAGGGTCAGCGCAGGCACAGATAGGGACCATGAGGCCCTGCAGAGTGCCCCGCATCTGATAGGATGGGGAATGGGCGGGTGACCCCGGGGACAGGGCCTGGATGGAGCCATCCAGCCACAGCCCCGGGCCACGGACTCCAGGCAGATAGCAGGGACAGGGAGGACAAGGCCCGGCATGCCAGCCAGCTCAGGGGTGTGGGCCCTGTGGCTGCCCCAGGCAATAAACTCAGGTGGGCGGTCCGAGGGACAAGTGACACGGTCACACCTCTGCCAGGAAGTTGTGCTCCAGGAGCAACCAAAGAGCTGGATTCCAATCGAGACCCTTGCCCCGTCTTTGCTGGTTTTCTTACAAAGATTTTCTCAAAAGTTCTTTGCCTCCTCAAAAAATGTCAAAAATTTTCCAGTTGGACAAGGTGGGGCACACCTGTAATCCCAGCACTTGGGAGGCCAGGGCAGCCTGGACTACTATGGAGTCCCTGACTCAAAACAAAAGAATAGGGCTGGGGATTTAGCTCAGTGGTTCCGACGCCTGCCTGGAAAGCACAAGGACCCGAGTTCGATCCCTGGTACCAAAAAACCCACAAAAAACCAAAAGAATAAATAAATAAGGCAAAAGGACACTAAGAAGATATTGTAGGTTAAAGGAGACCACCCCACCCGCCCCATCAACTGAACATGGAGTGTGCTGCTGGTCAGGGCTGGTTTTTTCTTATTGTTCTGTCCCTGTCAGAGGAATGACAAAACATTTGAATAAACCCTACTGATTAGACCTAGCACTGTATCTGTGTTAATGCCTTGGGAGTTTGGGTTTGTTTTAAAACAGAGTCTCACTGTGTAATTCAGACTGGCCTTGACTGATTCTCCTGCCTCAGCCTCCCAAGTTCGGGGATTACAGATGTGCATCACCAGGCCATTCAGCAATGTCTTGCTTGTTACTTGAACTCAGGGCCTTTGCACTGGGCTACATCCCAGCCCTTTTCCTTGTTTATCTTTTGAGAAAGAGTCGCGCCATTTCACAGTGTTGCCAAGGTAGGGCTCGATTTTGAAATCCTCCTGCTTCAGCCTCCCAGAGTGCTGGGATTATAGGCATGCATCACCACACTTGGCTAATGTCCTGGTTTTTAATCTCTCTATTGGGGTCAGATAAGAAAAGACCTGCTAGGTGTGGTGATCATGCCTCTAATCCCAGCACACAGGAGGCTGAGGCAGGAGGATCACTGTAAATTCCAGGCCAGGCTGGGCTACATACCAAGACCTTCCCTCAAAAAGTCAAAGGGAAGAGGAGCCTCATCCTGTCCTGTGGCCCCTGCTGAAGTTTCTTCGACTCCCCCTGCCCCGAGGCTTCGGGAGTGCATATCTGGACCCCAGGCTCGGTGAGGGGTGAAGGAATTCCCGGAATTTCTGGTTTCTGTATGCTGGGATTCTGCGTACAGGCTTGGTGGCTGTTGGCTGTAGAAATGTGGTTAATGTGGAATGGTGTACAGTACACGTTATTTGTAGAAAGTCCTTTTTCTCATGTGCAGTGTGAGAACAGGAAGGAGCCGCACCTATCATTTAATCTAGGCTCCCACCAGACTCGCTGTATCCTTCTTGACACCCGAGGCAGGTGACTCAGGTCTCAAGTGGCTCTACCCCCTCTCCCCACATGGGACTGAACCCAGGGAATACTGAGCTAGGCCCTCAGCCCTTTTTATATTTAGACAGAATCTCACTGAATTGTCCAGGCTCCTTGGACCCTCCTGCCTCAGCTGCCTAGGCAGCTAAAATCACAGCCAGACTTCCCTGAGGTCCTCCCTGAGATGGGAAAGTTGCCCCCTCTCTAGCCCATTCTCAACATTCCTCAGCCCTTCCCAAACTTAGGAGCTGCCTGCCTGGGGCCTGGATCACAGGTACCCGGCCTGACTTCACAGGGCCCCCCAGCCTGGATGGGTTTGGGATTCTCCTGAGCTTCCAGGCCTCACCGAGCCTCCAAGGACAAATGCAATCTCACAAGAGATGCTGACCTCGAGGTCACAGCCTGCAGTGAAGTCCTTGGAGGCCCCTTCATGACCGACTCCGAATGAGCTGGGACCCATCTTCAACCACAGCTGCCTCTCAGGAACCATCTTGACAGCAGGCGGCCCTGCCAGACACCCTGGGATGGGGCTGTTTGCGCCTAGTCCGTCTCCAGACGCTGCTAGAGTACAAGCTCCAGGTGCTGCTGAATCTGCCGCACTCAGACAGGCGCTGCAATTGCAGTGGTGAGGCCCCACGCCTGGCCCCCACCTGTCTCTCTTTTTTTCTTTGGTACAGGGCCTCACTAAGTAGTCCGGGCTGGCCTCGAACTCACTAAGTACCCCAGGCTGGCCTAGAGCTCGTGGCCATCCTGCTGCCTCAGCCTCCCAAGGGCTGGGATCACAGACGTGTGCCATCACACCTAGCTTAAAAGAATATTTTAATAGCATTGGAAAATGTGCATGCTCTTCACACTTCCACAAGCGTGTGCCACCATGCCGGGCTCATATTTTTCAAAGTTTCCACAAGAAAGAAATTATTTCTCTTGTACTAAGAAAACTCACAAGCGGGGCATGGTGGCGCACTCCTGTAGTACTGGTCCACTCAGGGGCTAAGACAGGAGGATGGAAAGTTCAAGCCCAGCCTGGGCAACTTACCGAGACCCTGTCCCAAAACAAAAAATAGAATTAAAAACGGGCTGGGATGCAGCTCAGTGTGAAGGCCCTGGGTTTAATTCCTACCATGAGGAACAGGAAGCGGACGGCATTTTCTGCATTCTCAGAAGGAAGCTGAGGCTCCCTAGGGGCTGGGCCCTGCTGGTGGCTCCTAGTGCCCTCTCTCCTCTCTACACTCAGGACGGTAAGGTCCGGCTCACCAGGCCGGAGCATTCGGCGACAAAGCGCCCCGCATGTGCCCAGCGCGGGGCAAGCTCGGCCTCTGCTGTGTCCTGGACGTCACAGCGCACGCGGGACCCGGCAGCTCCAGCCCGTGACCCCGGAGCGAGGCCGTCAGGACCGTTGGGCCAGGGCACAGCCCAGAGCAGGTGCCACTCAGGGGCCTGGAGGGCGCGGCGGCCTTGCAGGCTGGGTGGGCCGGGCCAGGCAGCACAGGGGCGAGGCTGTCCCCTCCTCGCTCTGCCCGCCCCGAGGGTGCCGCCCCCGTGCCCCCCCCCCCCCGTCCCTCCCGGCTCCCACTCCACGCCCCGGGATCCCTGTCCCAGCTGTCGCCTAATCAGGGTGTCGCAGCCTCTCTGGCAGGGAGTGGGTGCCCCTGGCACGGGGTCGGGGAGGCCCCTGATAAACAGCTGGAGCCCTGTTCACAGCCTCTGTCACCCCTGTAGGAAAGGCTGCTGCAGAGCCACCAGCATGGTCAGACACTGTCAGGCTGGCACCGGGTCTTACCCACCACCTCAGCAGCCATCTCAGGCGCCCGCTGACCTTCAAGGTCCAGCACAAACACTTCTGGGCTGCACCAGGCCTCCCGGGACTGCCCCAGTCCCCAGCCTGCTGCTGCACCAGCACAGGGCCCACCACCGCCATGCATTATGGGAAATGGGCACCCCTCTGGTGTTGGGGTGCTGAACTCCCAAGTGGCCCAGGACCTCACACCCGAAAGCAAGCATCGTGTCTCGGGGGCCAGAACAGAACTCAAGAAATAAAGCCAGGGATGGTGGCGCACATCTGTAATCCCAGCACTTGGGAGGCTGAGGCAGGAGGATCACCATGAGTTGGAGGCCCTCCTGGACTACATAGTGAGTTCAAGGCCAGCCTGGACTATATAGTGAGACCCTGCCTCAAACAAAACAAAAAAGAACTAGGCTATATCTGTAGAAATCATGCAGTGATAGAGTATCCTCTATGTGGATTACTACAGAAGCATTAAAAATTCTGTATATTGACATTGAAGAAAAGTTTATTATTGTGCAGGCAGAACGCAAACCTTAGAATTTTTTTCAAAATAATAATTGTTTTATATTTTTATGATACAGTGTTCACTTGAGAGGCCACTTTCATGTCCCTCGAGAGACCTGAGGGTAATACCGTTTTCCTTTAGTTCTGTGCACTGTGAAGTGTGAAAAGACGCCTCCTCCCACTTCTCTCTGATTCTCTCGTCAGCACCAGATACTACATGGTAAAGTCTCAAGCCATTCTGACTAATCCCTGTGACATTTTAGTCACGCTCTCAAACGTGCAAATTAGATATTCCTGGGCTTTTAGGCAAATCACGACACATTTTCACATTTGCCACAAACTGCAGTCTCTATCATGGGCGATACACCAGTGGTAAGGGCTCCTTTCGGAAAACAGCAGATAACTTAAGTAAATTTGCATAGCATAAAAAAATAAAAGAGAGAGATGTGACCTCGAGCATGAGAAATGATCCTAACTTAGGGAAAAATGAGCTGGGCATGGTGACGAACGCTTGTGATCCCAGAACTCAGGAGGCTGAGGCAGGAGGATCACTGTGAGTTCAAGGCCTGTATGGGCTACACACCAAGACCCTGTCTCAAAACCCTCTTCTTTCCCCAAAAAACTAAAGTAAGAAAGAAAGATGTAAGACTAAAAGGAAATTACAAAAAGGAGTCAGTGCTATCTTTTGGTGGTAAGAAGAGACAGTTGTGGTTTTTTTAACGTTTTCCCACTTTTCTTTACAGTCCAAATTTCTTGAACGAGTAAGTATTTGGGTTTTTTGTGCCAGAGATGGAACCCAGGACCTTGAGCCTGGTAGGCCAGCTCTCTACCACTGAGCTACACCCCTGAACCCTGGTTTGATGGTTCCTTAAAAACAACAGGCATGTGCTGCACACCCATGATCCCAGTACCCTGGGAGGCTGAGGCAGGAGAATTTCGAGTTCAAACCTAGCCCAGGTAATTTAAGGAGACCTTTGTCTGCCACCCCTCCAGGCCCTCCCTGCTCACCCCAAAGACTGCCTGGCGCCCCACTGCAGCCCCAGAAGGCTGAAGCACATGGGCCACACCCCCACACCTCAAACCCACTGTGTTTTTCCCTGGAGGCTGGGACCGGTGTTTTCTGAGACAGAGTCAAAGGACAGCACAAGAGGCCACAGATGCGGGCGGGGCCCACAGGGTCCATCGGAGCTCCCTGCCGTCACAGAGAGGACACAAGTGGGTTGTGGTAAGATGCCGGGCAAAGGGGTGTTCCCCCATCCTGGGAGACGGGTCAGGACACCAGCAGGAGCTGGGCTGGGCACTGCTCAGGCCCTGGGGCTTTGGAGTCTGGAGCCTTGGAAGTGCCTGGGAGTCCATGCTGTGGCCCCGGACTCTGACGGCTGGCAGCACAGGGAAACTGCAAGCCTTGTTCTCCCATTACCATCTTTTGGGGAGGAGGTGCTGGGAATTGAACCCAGGACCTCATGTATGCTAAGCATGCACTCTACCTTGGAGCTGCATCCCTGGTACCCTGCTATTAACTTTACTATTTTTTTTTTAAGGTTTGTTTTGTTTTGTTGATGGCACTGGGAATTGGACTAGGGCCTTCTCACTGAGTTACATCTCCAGCCCTTTTTAAAATTTTGAGACAGGGTCTCATTCAGTCGCTCAGCTATCCAGAGTGGGCTGGAACTTGTGATCTTCCTGCCTCAGCCTCCCAGAGTGCTGGGATCACAGGCGAGCACCACCACACCCGGCTGCCCCAGATCATCTTATTAGGAAGCAGTCCCAGGGATTCCAGTTCAGGCTGGCCTGAACACAAAGGTCTCAGCCCCGCTTCTCCTTCCCCCCTGTCTTCCCTGCCTGCCAGCACCCAGCACCTCAAGGGCGCTGTCCACACTGTGGTACGGGGGTGAAGAAATGAATGAACAAATGATTGGCTCTCGGGCTGCCAAGGAAAACCCTCAGCACACAGGAAAAGGGTGCATAGGAGGAGGAGCTGCAAGGGTAAGTGGAAAATAAAACAAGCAATTGTGTGTCACCACTTCCTCCGGGCCGGGCCATGTCTCTAACGGTGTGAGCAGCCTGGGGCGTCTGGCACCCACCTGTGCACACGCACACACAGCGAGCTATTTATTTACTTCCTCTGTGAGGGGTAAATAAAGACCAAGCCAAAACAGGCTCCCCCAAACCGCCGGGGTCTCCCCCAGGTGTTGATGCGGCTCAAGGCCTAGGGAGGTCACAGGTGGCTGCCTGCCATGGCGTGCCCTCCCCTTCATGCATGTGCAACTCACAGGAGGCTCTGGTGCAGGAGGGGGCAGGGGGAGCGCTTCCTCCCCTCCCCTCCCCTCCCCTCCCCAGGGGCTGAGACAGCAGCACCCATCCCTCCCCTGCCTCTCCCCCATCCCACCTGGGGGGGGGCTTGCAAATGGGGCCAAGGGCAGTGGTGGTCATGCTGGGGCCCCTGCTGGGCTGGGCACACACTCTTGGGGTTGCTGATTGGTGGCAGGGTAGGACCAGGGCATTGGGCATATCTAGGCAGCAGCTGGGTGGATAGGTGGCCCTCAGTACCAGATCAGCCCCAGATCAATATGGTGGTTGTGAGGCTGGGTGTGGTGGAGCACACCTGTGATTCTGGTGCTCAGGAGGCTGAGGCAGGAGGATTGCTGTGAGTTTCAGCCCAGCCTGGAATACATAATGAGACCCTGTCTGAAACTCACAAAAGAAATGCAGCCTCCTCCAGGCCCCTCCCTCCCTGCGCTCCTCTCCTACCTTGCTCCCCCTTGGAGTTGTGGTTTTACTTCTCTCACGCCACCAGACAGAGTCAGATTTTCCTCAAGGTGAGGGGTTTTTTTTGTTTTGTTTTTGTTTTTTGGTACCAGGGATCAAACTCGGGTCCTTGCGTTTGCAAGGCAGGCAGCGGAGCCAGGCGTCAGATTGGAGCTAAATCCTGGGCCCCAAGGTGAGGCTTTTGACCTTGCACAGGCCTAGTGCAGGTGCCCTGTCACCCTCTTAGCACTGGCTGTCCCTTCAGGTCTACTCCCCACAGCCCCAGGGCACAGGCTGCCTCTTTGTCCCAGGAGGAGGGTAGCAGGGACATGGGAGTCCGAACTCTCTAAGGCACTGGCAATCTTACACACAGGAATCTTCAGCAGCACAGCAGCCCTGTGCTTGGGGCTCACTTTAAATAGGAAAAGCCCCAGGCGGGATGGTGCATAGTAGGTGCTCACTAAACCACAGCTGCCATTACTGCAGAGGGAAGCCTGGGATCTGAGGGTGCAGCTGGAGAAGAGACCTCGGCCTCCCCAGTAGGAGGGAGACTGTGGACATCAGAGGAAGGGAAGGGCAGAGGGAGGTGGCGTGGTGACAGCTGTGGCATCTATCAGCCACCTGCAGCCCATGCCATCCCTTTGCCCACATTCTGCCTGTGTTGCCCCCTGCATCATGGTGACTATGGCTGCTTGTGGTCAGCCACTGTCCCGGCCTCCTCCTGCTTCCTGCCTGAGATGGTAGAAAGGGAGCAGGAAGCAGCTGCCCCGCCCAGAGTCTCCTCCTGCCGAGGGCCGGCGCTGCCCGGGTGGTGGCCAGTGCTCAGGGTGGGGATCCATCGAGCTTTTGCAGCACCTGTGTCCTGTCCACACAGCAGGGACAGGGGCCTGCTGAGGCCGTGGAGGAGGAGGGACATCCCGCCCAGCAGTGTCTGCACACAGCGAGTGTCCGGTGCACACTTCTCACCATCAGGGCGGAAGGCCGGGCTGTGTCCAGGGTCCCAGGCCCAGTCATCACCTCCAACCAGCAGCGATGTCCGGGTGTGGGGCCCCGGTGTGATCGCATGCAGTGTCTCTCCAGGCTACTGGCGGGGTGTACACTGGGCTGTCCAGCCATCGGTCAGGACTGGGGACATCAGAGTGCTGGGGGGCGGGGTCGAAGGAGCCACTGAAGTGCCCTGCCGAGGGGAGAGACTCTGCCTCCTTGCTTGGGGATGGGGGTGCTCGGGATGGTCCCTGGTTGCCAAGGTTACTGCTGGCCGGGCAGAGGGCCCTGGCCCAGGGCACCCAGCAGGTGGCCCAGCAGGGACATGGAAAGGGAAAGCACCCACTCCGTCTGGCTCAGACCCAAACACAGAAACCAAGCGAGGGCACTGGTGAGTGCTGGGGGTGTCTGGAGCCCTGACCAGAACCCCCAGGAGACGGGAGTCTGGCAGGGGGACCTTAGACGCCATGTTTCGAGTCGGGGCCACCCACAGTGAGCTGGCCCGGCCCAGCACCATGCCAAGCCTGGCACCCAGCCCAGCACCATGCCAAGCCTGGCCCCTGGCCCATCCTGCCTCAGCTTCCCAGGTGGCCCCAAAGCCTGTCTCTTCCCGGAAGGCCTGGACAGTTTGAGGGTGGCCCCTCTGCAGCCACCTGTCCTGAGTCCTCACTCGGCCCAGACAGCTGGGAGCCTGGAGCTCGGGAGCTGGCCAAGGGCGATGGCCGGTGGCTGCCTGGATGCTGGGTGTGCTGTGCAGGGGCCTGCGGAGGGGCCTGGCCCGGCCGGGACCAGGAGGGGAATGTGGCTCATCCCAAGCACAGCTGCTTCTGTGGTTCTCTCCAGCAGCTGCTGCTTGCTCCTTATCTTGGGTCTCAATCCAGGCTCCACCCCTTTGCTGTTGCTGAGCTGGGGAGGCAGACAGGGCCTGCTTCCTGCTCACAGGGCCTTAGTCTCTCCCACTGCAGCTCAGAGGGACTTGGAAAAGACTCAGCCGGGTGTGGTGGCACATGCCTGTTACCCCAGCACTCAGGAGGCTGAGGCAGGAGGATCGCTGGGAGATCAAGGCCAGCCTGGGCTAGGTAGTGAGACCCTGTCTCAAACAAACAAACAAAAGGTCTGCTACTTGAGACCAACTCTGTACCCCTCTGTGGGTGACTGGGCTTTGAAAGTGAGTCACTGCCCCGGGTGTGACTCCCCTGCCCACTGCAGTGACACCCTAGCTGTGGACCCCAGAGTGGCATGCATAGGGCTGCGGTGACCATGCAGGACCCTGGGCCTCTGGCCTGGGCCCTCCTGGACCTCGCCTGGCCAGCTTTGGACCTGGCACCTGCTGTCCCCACCACGATGCCACCAAAATGGCAGGGCTTCTGTTTTCCATATTATTACAGAACTGGAACACTTCTAAGAAGGGGGGAACCTCCCTTACCTCTACTACCCGCTAAAATAACCATTGCTAACAATTTGGGAGATTTCCTTGCCGTCTCCAGTATGCATGTGAGGCGTGTGAAGCAGACTGCTGTCAACAGGTTGGAGGTGCAATTTCGCCTCCTGCTCTTTCCCTTAACATCACCATAGCAGTTATTCCACGTCACCACATATTTTTGCAGCTGAGATTTTTAAAGAGATGGGGGTCTGGCTATATGGCCCAGCCAGCCTCAGACTCCTAGGCTTAAGCAATCCTCCTGCTTCAGCCTCCTGAACAGCTGGGAATACGGGCAGGGGTGTGCTACCATGCCCAGCCCAACCTTTTTTTTTCAGTACTGCCAGTTGAACCCAGGACCTTCGAACTAAACTACATCTCCAACCCTTTTTTATTTTTTATTTTGAGAAATGATCTTGCTAAGTTATTAGGTTGCCCAGGCTGAGTTCAAATTTGCAATCTTCACAAAGCTTTTGTACATGGTGGGGGGGGGGAGGTATCATGTACAGGTGCAAATTCCCTCTGATGAGTGTTATCATTATGTACATCTAAAATGTACCAAATGTTTGGCTATTTAAAAATATTTAAAATTTTTTAAAAGTAGAAAGAAAAAAATTTAAAAATTTTTTTAAATTAATGATTTAAAAATTTGCAATCCTCCTGCTTCAGCCTCCCAGTGCTGGGATTACTGGCATGCACCACCGTGCCCAGGTTCCCTTGTCTTTATATTGGCCAGTCCATTTCTGTTGCTAACAAAACCCTGATTCCTCCCCAATTTAGTAGTTTCCCAATTATAAATCAGGACTTTTCCTAGCTCATAAAATCACAAAGCTAATTCTGATCAATGTGTTTTAAAAATGAAACAACTCAGGGCCCGGGATTTAGCTCAGTGCTTTCGCCACCTGCTGCGCAAGCTCAAGGACCTAAGTTCAATCCCCGGTACCAAAAAAGAAAGAAACAACTCAAGAGAAGGAAAAAAGAAATAACAAAAGTACTACTTTGATATTTGGCAAGGGTGAGTGTTGTTTAGCTAAACCCTTCGGTTTATTTATGTCCAGGTATGTGTGTCTGTATGCCTGTGGATAAAAAGGGTTAAAATGAAAACATTTCTAGTTTTCTTTTTTTGTTTCTTTTTTTTTTTGGTACCGGCGATAGAACTCGGGACCTTGTGCTTGTGAGGCAGACGGCGGCACCACTGAGCTAAATCCCTGGCAAAACATTTCTAGTTTTAAAAAACACTGCCCTAATTGGACTTGAGTTAACTGAGACTGAACAACGAAGCCACATGTCCTAGACGTTCTTTTATTTCTCCCCAAATCTTTAGTACCTAGAGAAATACACTTTCTCGTCAAGAAAATAGTACAATTCAAGGTTCATTCATGGTTACCCCCATTTATACCTTGACCTCTTTTTCGGCACCCGAGATCGAACCCAGGGCCTTTGCACTAAGCTACATCGGCAGCCCTTTTATTATTATTATTTTTTATTGAGACAGTGTCTCCTTAAAAGGCTAAGTTGCCTAGGCTGGGCTGGAACTTGAGATCCTCCTGCCTCAGCCTCTCGGAGCTGTGTCTCATGAATGCTCTTCCCAGGATTTTGGGAGAGTGGACAGCCCAGGGGGTATGCAACAGTATGCTGACATCCCCTGCCTCAGGAATCCTCACTCCTCCCTCCAGGTGGCTAACTCCTGGCGCCATCATCTTCAAAGCAGTTTGCCAGGTGTCCCCTCCTTTCCATTCCCCCTGTGTCACCTTCCTTTCAGTCCTCTACTGATTCCGTCAGCTACTTCTGCCCCAGACCTCAACCTGCCAAAGTGCTGGTCAGGACACTTCCTCCCTCAAAAGCCTTCCATGGCTCCCTTCTACCTCCAACATCAAGTCCAAAGCCCTGATTCAGCTTCCTCACCACTTGCCCCAATGTCCGCGCCACCACATCGGTGTCCACTCGGCCCCTCCCCTGCCACATGCGAGGCCCAGGTCTTTGCATCCACCAACCACACCCTCCTGAAGCCATAGTAGGCTTCACAGGCAGGTGCGGAAATGGAAGCCCAGGCCAGGATTCTCATTCGGTTTATCTGTATCTGTTAAGACATAGTTATCATTTTATTTGTTGCTTTTTTTTTTTTTGGTACCAGTGATCGAACTCGGGTCCTTGTGCTTGCGAGGCAGGTATCGGAACCACTGAGCTAAATCCCCGACCCACAGTTATCATTTTATAAAAATATAACCCTTATGTTACTTACCATGCACTAAGTTTCTTGTTATCTTAAAGGAATTAATAAATATTTTGGAAATATCTCATGCTCAAAATTCCTTTTTTTTTTTTGGTACTGGGGATTGAACTGAGGACCTTGCGCTCGATGGCCAGGCAGCAAAACCACTGAGCTAAATTCCCTGCCCCTTAAAATTCTTTTCAGGGGCTGGGGATTTAGCTCAGTTGTTCTGGCGCCTGCCTTGCAAGCACAAGGTCCTGAGTTCCATCCCCGGTACCCCCTCCCCCCCCAAAAAAATTCTTTTCAGTACTGGAGATTGAACCCTGGGAGGTCCGAGCTACATTCCAGCGCTTTTGTTATTTTTATTTTGAGCTCCCCAGGCCCCTGGGCCACTCCTCAGGGCTCTGCCCATGCAAAACACCTCGACCCGCCCAATGTTTGATAAAGGGCTCCTAGGGAAGGTTGAGGGCTGCCCTTGAACTTGCCATCCTCCTGCCTCAGCCTCTGAATAGATAGGATCATGAGTTCGCCACATTCCTGGCTTCATATTCGATTATTTTTTTTAGAAATTCAAAATCCATATCTATAGTGTATACAAAAAAAGAAAAGTCTTTAAAAGTCTCAATAATTTTGAAGGGTGAAAAGTGTCTTTAAGACTGGAAAGTTTGGTAATGCCCGGTCAAAACACGAGGCAGGAGGGGCCGGGGATTTAGCTCTGGTTCCGGTGCCTGCCTCACAAGCGCAAGGTCCCAAGTTCAATCCCCGATACCAAAGAAAAAAAAGAAAAAGAAAAAGAAAAAGACGAGTCAGTTCCAGCGGGGACTGGATCTGAAGGTACCTGGTTCTCTCTGTGCTTCCCTTTTCCGTATTTTCCCTCTCTTCCCTGTTTGTTGCTGGGAAAGTTTTAAGTAACTTCTTATTTAAAAAGTAAAACGTAGGGCCAGGGATTTAGCTCAGTGGTTCAGGCGCCTGCCTTGCAAAAGCAAGGTCCCAAGTTTGATCCCCAGTACAAAAAAAAATGTAAAAGGTGGTCTAGTAATAATCACTGTTATAGAAATAACAGTGACTACCTCCAACTTGCAGTCCTCCTGCCTCAGTCCTCCTGCCTCAGCCTCCCAGAGCTCTGGGATTGGAGGCGTGTGCTACCACGCCTGAGAAATGAACTAACAAGTACACATATTTATTAGAAATGTATTTACAAATGGCATACAGCCCAGAGAGGCATTTGCTCTGACACCGACATGGCTGCCGCCCAGTGTTCAGGAAGAGATGCAGAGAAGGGGAGGAAACTTCAACCTCTTCCAGGCAGAAGCCGACCGGCTCAGAGGGAAGACGGAGGCGGCCTGGGCAGCAGGTGCAGCTGGCAGGAAGGAAAAGGATGGAAGTGACAGGCCCGGGAGAAGCTGCCACATCCTCCCCCGGGCCAAGACTCCCTGTGAAGGGACTCGGGACAGGCGCTGCCCAGGACCATGGGCTGGAGCCTGCTGCTGGGAGGGGACAGATGCTGCCTGGGCCCAGCCACAATTGATGTCCAGCACAGGGACCCATCAAAGAGAGCTCAGCAAAGAGCCTGCAGATGTCCCGTCCCAGGTGCCCTGTGCTCTGCCACCCTCTGCCCCTCAGCTGCACCCACATGGAATTGGGGAGCCCAGGGAGGGAGAGAGAGGGGACCCAGTGGGGCCAGACCTGGGAGGTCCCAGACACCCTGATGACCTCAGTGTTCTGTCCCACTGTGTGACCCTGGGCCAGAGACGAGGCCGATGGTTATTCTAGAAGAGGCTGACGAGAGGCCATAGGTGGGTTTGGAAAAAAACCAGGGCTCTTGGGTTTGGGGCACCAGGGATTGAACCCAGGGCCTTTGCACTGAGCACTGAGCTGCATCCCACCCTTCTTATTTTTTGAGACTGGGTCCTGCTAAGTCACTAAGTTGCCCAGGCTGGGCTCCAACTTTCGATCCTCCTGCCTCAGCTGTGGTCAGCTCGGCTCCCAGCCTCTTCGCGTTTGGGCAGTGAGCAGAGCTGGGGGTCCCGAGGAGGACCCCGCAGGTCTCTTCCCCTGTCCCCTGCCCTGGGCCTCTCCCCATAGGAAGGAATGTCGCTGGGGTGAGAGGACTGGTCAGAGTGCTGAGGCCACGGTGTCCCCAGTGGCATCCTGCCCCTTGAAGGGGTACGAAGGGCCACTCCTGTGGTTCCCCCAAGGATCGCTGACCAGTCCTCTGCCCCCGGACACGCGGTCCTGCTATCTCAAGGGCAAAGGAGGTTGGTCAGTGGCACATGCCCGCAATACTGTCATCTGGAAGGTTGAGGCAGGAAGATCCTGAGTTCGAGGCCAGCCTGGGCCACGTAGCAGAGGCCCCGTCTCAAAAAGCCAACCCCCCAAAAAAGTCAAGGGCAAAGGAAGGTCAGGAAGGGGGAAGAGAAAGGGCAGATGTGTGTGTCCCTGCCCTGGGACAGGAGCCTATCCCAGAGGCCAAGGCCGCAGAGCACATTCTACGGAGCCTCTGCCGGGTCCAAAGCGGCTCTCCGGGCACGGCCGCGGAAACAGCTTGGGACCGGCGAGGGCAGAGGTCCCAGGAAACCAGCAGCCGCCGGAGGACCGGCGGGCGATCCGCACCCACCCCGCGAAGGGCGACGCGCTGGGCAACAGCGCCACCTGGTGGGCAACCGCGGCGAGGGCGCAGATCAAGCGCGGGGTCACTGCAGGGTTCATAGGGATTCGGTCCGCTCCCTGGCGAAGCCCACTCTGAGCAGACGTCGCAGACCGCACTGCCTCCTTCAGACGTGGAACAGGCAATTATTTAACAGAGTTTGTATCTGATCGATTGACTGACTGATGTAGCGGAGTTTGAACGCAGGACTGCATCTCCAGCCCTTTACCGTTTTTAAATTTTGAGACAGTCTCCGTAAGTCGCTAGGTTGCCAAGTTGCCCTGGCTGGGCTCCAACTTTCGATATTCCTGCCTCAGCCTCCCGGAATGCTGGGATTACAGAAATGCATGGTCACCATGCTGGGCTGTTCTTCATTTTAGAATCCTGATCCCACCGGTTCCTCCCACCTCCTTCCTCAAACTTTCACCTAAGGCATCTTTTCTTCCCTCAGTTTCACTTCCTTTTTAACAATGTATTTATTTCCAGCGCCGGGGATTTAGCTCGGTGGCGCCTGCCTGCCTCGAAAGCAAGTGCAAGGTCTTGAGTTCGCTCCCTGGTACCAAAAAAAAAGAAATATTCATTTCCAGAAGCCAGGCGTGGTGGTGCACACCTGTAATCCCAGCACTCGAGTGGCTGGGGCAGGAAGACTGCCACAAGTTCAAGGCCTAAATAGTGAGTTCAAGGCCTACATAGCAAGAGGCTTAAAAGCAAACCAAACAAAAACTATAGATTTTGGTCTCCATTATTGGGTTAATTTTGAAGTTCAGGAGATTAGACCTTGAAATCAGACAGCCCCGTGTCCAAATGTGGACCCTGTCACTTCCTGGCTTTGTGGCCTTGGGCAGGATCCTCAGCCTCCCTGAATCTGTAAGTTGGGGATGGAGGTATTTACCACCTGGAGTTCTGGTGAGCACCACGTCAAATAACTGGAGCCAAAGCGCCAGGATAGCTCCTGTGACATCATGCCGCTCCTAAGTGGCCACCGGGGCCACATTCCTCTCAGGGAGCGCTTGGGAAACAAGGGGAAGGGGCGAGGAGAGAAGCAGCTGGCAGGCTCGAGCCTTCCCCAGCCAGCCGCCTGGGCGAGGGGCAGGGGACAGCAGGCAGCTCTTTGAAACTCGAGGGTTTAAAATTTAAATGGCTTCCCAGGCAAGACAACAGACGTGCTCAGCAGAGAAAGGGAACTTGGCGGGGCCCCAGAACTTTCCCCACCCCAGCCCTCCGGAGACTTCCTCTTGTGGTTTCTCAAAAGTACAACCTGTTCTTCGCACGCTTGCGAGAGGCGGCAGGGGAGGGGACACAGGGGACAGGGTCACCGAGGTGCAGGGAGGAGGGGTGAGAGCGGCCTGATTTGCTCTGAAAGTCACATCCTGCCTCCCTGTTGTCTGCCCCGCCTCCCTCGGCCCCTGAGTCCAGCAGAGACACCCCTCCCCCTCACACCCCTCTCACAAGGTGGCTTCACCCCTCCCACCAGGCACAGGTCCTGGGAGGTGGGGGCCACAGGTTCCAGAAAGGAGGTAGAGAAATACCTGGAGCCTGGCTCCACCAGTAGCACTGCCCAGGCGGACTGGATGTTTGGAAGCCAGAATGTGGAGCTGTCAGTTTCCCACATTCCCCGATTCTCACAGAGCATTTCTCTCTTAGCCTAGAGTAGTGGCACAAGCCTGTAATCCCAGCACTTGGGAAGCTGAGGGAGGAGGATCACAGCAAGTCTGAGGACAGCCTGGGCTACACAGTGAGTTCAAGACCAGTCAAATTACAAAGTGAGACCCTGTCTCAAAAAACCAAAAAACAAAAAGAAATTCTTTCTTACACACCCAACCTTTGGCTATTTATGTTTCCCCTTCCTCTGACCAAGTGAGCCTTACACAGGGGACACACACACACACACACACACACACACACACACACACACACAGAGCCAGCCCTGTGCTGTTCCCATAGCCCCAGTCCAGGCCTGCTGGGGCTCTGTGACTAGTGCGAGCCCTGAGCTGGCTAACAGACATTGACTCATACCCGAATACCACCCAGGACACAGAACTACAGGACAGGGACAGTGACCCTGAGGTCCCCCAGCCTGGGGCTCAGGGCCACACTGCACACAGCCCACCCAGGAGGCAGGTGGCTGGGTGGGCAGGAGCAGGGTCTCCCGAGTCACATGACTGGGGTTCTGATCCCAGCTCTGGCACTGACTTCCTGCACCACCACCACCCCCGCCTCCTGAAAACTGCTCATCCCTGTGCTCATTTCCCACAAGATGGAGATGGCTCCGTGACACTTCCCAGGACCGAGGAGGATCCCATGAGATGTGACAGCGAAGCCACCCACAGGGCACCTGACCGAATGTGCCTTGCAATTGTCAGCTAGCATTCTGTGCCCTGCAGGGATGGGAACAGAAGGGGAAGACAGTCAGGACCACAGAGCCCGCTGGACCGATCAGAAGCCTCGGGCTGTCCACTGAGATGTCCCTGACCCTTACATATGCAGGCGGTGCAAGGCCTCAGCGAATGGTGTCAAATTCAGAAAACACTGTGCAAGTGATGAATCACATCTCTGGGAAACACGCGGGAGAGGAGAGGTCGAAGGAAGCCATTTGAGAGCCACTTCACCCACCTCAGGTCCCAAAGGGAACGGGGGTGGTGGGGGGCCAGCCCCCATTAGAGGAAGGGGACCCGAGCCTGGGATGTGGATGATGGCCAGGATGGCATGGACTGACATTGACCCCGGGGGACCCACTCTCTCCTGTTGGTTCCCACCTCCTTTTCTCGCCTGGATGGCAAGCAGGACTGCTTTGGGGTCACCATGTGTCCCAGTGCTTGACACCACAACCGGGGTTCAGCCCAGGTCTGGGGGATAAGTACCCCAAAGACCAGCTTCCAGACCCCTGCCTGGTGACCTGCTGTCCTTTCCTGTTAAACCCCTCCCAAATCCCAGCCAGAGCCCTGGCCCCTCATCGCTGCTGTGTGTGACCTGGACAGACCAGCGGGGACCCTCAGCGTCCTGCACAGCCCTTGGTGCTCCCTCGGTACAGACAAATCATCCGAACCCTTAGCGACAGCAGCCAGCATCCTCCACGGTGAGACACAGCCAGTGAGGTGTCACCTGTGTGCCTCTGGGGGACACCACAGAGGGTCCCTCCTTGGCCCTGACCCAAGGTCACAAGTGAACCCAGGGGCTCAAGTCTGCCTGCCACGCACATATTCAGGGCCCTGCTCTCGGGGACTTCTCTGTCCTCGAAGACAGGACCGCTCACTTGGAGAGACAGGGAACTGCGCTCTGGGGACCACCCGGGCTGTGATGAAGGCGCCCGACTCCTTCACCCCCTTCTTCGGCTCCCAGCTCCGCGTCCCCAGCCTGGGCCTTGAGCGTCACCCCGAGGGGCAGGGTGTCACCCACCTCGGGCTGCCCCAGCCCCAGCCTACCTGATCCCGGAGCCTGGGGCGGGCACAGCCGCCGTCCCCGCAGTCCAGCCCGTCTTTGGGGAGGGGACAGCACCTCCTGGGGAGCGGACAGCGTCCCCTCCGGTCCCGGCGAGCGCCCGAAACAAACCAGCGGCCGCCTCCGCGGGCAGACGTGTTTACACAGCCGCGCCGCCCAGCGACTTTGAAGCTGGGGAGGAAGTGGGGAGCGGGGGTGGAGGGGGGCGCTGTCCTCAGGGCGTAAACAACCACGCGGATTCCAACCCGCAGCGCCGCAGGCAGGGCGGGCCGCGTGGGCTCAGTGCCCTGTGCCCAAAAGGGAAATTGAGGCAGGTAGGGCGAGGTGAGGTGTCCGGAGTCCCACAGCTGGAGAGGGCCTGCGTTTAAACCCGCGTCTGCGCCACCCAGGGGCCCTTGAGTCCCAGGCAGGGGGTGCGTGGGGAGCCCAAGAGGACAAGAGGGCGTGGCCGGGACTCACCTGGGCCCGCGACACGCCCCCGGTGACGCCACGGGCCTCTCAGCCCCGCCCCTTGCCGCCGCGCCGCCTGCGACTACAAGTCCCATCCTGCCCCGCGCTCAAACTCACGGCGCCAGAGCAAGATGGCCGACACCGCGTCCACAGCCGGGGCCGGAGGCTCGGGAACGGTAAGACTAGGAGGCGTGGGGCTGGAGCCTAGAGAGTCTGGGCGTCCTCTAACTTCCCTCTGGCCTACGCAGCACGCTCATCCCCAGAAATCCAGTCCCACCATGAACTCCGAGTGGAGGTGGGCCTTTAAACCATACGTGTCCCCCTTCTGAGGACTTGGCGAAGGCCTCTTGAGTTGATGGATCTGCGTCCTGATTGGCTCGTCCCGAAACACCTTCTGATTGGCCCAAAGAGGCCGCTTTTACCTTCTATTTGACCAACCAAGATTGGGAGGGATTCCAGTTTCAAAATATTTAGCTTCCCTGCGTTTCCGTGCTGTTACCCTTTGCCCTCCTCTCCTAGACATCAAGGATTGTTATTGTTTTATTTTTCCTGTTAATGAGATGGTGTGGAGATGGAAGGAACAATAGAGAATTTCTTTTTCTGTGAGGTAGACTTACTCAGTCCTATCGTGCATGTTTGTTCAGCCTTACATCCTGCTAACCTACTAAAGTAGAAAGTGAAAAAACAAAAAACAAAAAAACAAAGAGAAAGAAAGTGAAAAAACAGCCATTTTGTTCCGTGGGAATGTTTTAGGTTCCCAGAAAGATTGCTCTGTATTTAGCACACCCTAAGTGCTCAATTATTACTCAGTTGGCCAAAATCTATAAATCTAAGCATTGGCTGGTTATGGTGGCAGACGCCTGTAATCCCAGCACTCTGGAAGCTGAGGCAGGAAAATCACTGTGAGTTCGAGGCCAACCTGGGCTACATAGTGAGTTCAAGGCCAGTCTGAACTACATAGCAAGACCCTGTCTCAAAAAAACAAAACAAAAATCTAAACAAGATATCCATAAAGAAGTATTTAACAGGAAAACTTTGGCTTCCCTTGAGATTTGTGAACTGTGTGATTGCACCCTCGTCTTGTGATTTGAAAATCAATCTCTCTCCCCTTCCTTCTCCTTCATAATTCACAGAGATCAGGAAGTAAACAGTCCACTAACCCTGCTGATAACTACTATCTGGCCCGGAGGAGAACCTTGCAAGTAGTGGTGAGCTCCTTGCTGACAGAGGCAGGATTTGAGAGCGCCGAGAAAGCTTCTGTGGAAACGCTGACCGAGATGCTGCAGAGCTGTGAGTACTGTGCCCTGCGCTGTGATGGTGTTAGAGAGCATTTGAGGGGAAAACTGGGCATAGTGAAATGATTTATGGACTTTAGAATCAGATGGATGTGGATGTAAATCTGCCACTTAATGATTTGGGCCAATCACTAAACCTCAGTTTCCTTGCTTGAAATGGAATAATAATTTGTACCTGGGGGAGGTGTGAATATAAGTGAGAGGTCTATGCAGTATGTTTAGTGCTCGGGGACTGTAAACTCCTGATGACTTGTAGGTGCCCTTGTTACTGTTTTCCTCTCTATTCTCAAAGGACTTACACTTTTGTTGGGGAGGCAGAACTGAATCCCATGAAATAGATGCCATCACATTATGTAATTAGTTACTGTCTTGTGATGCAAAGAATGAGGATGGATAAGCTTTATAGAATGGAAAAAATATTTTTGAAAGGACATGTCTTAGTCAGGTATGATATCACATACCTAGAATGCCAGCTACTCAGGAGACTGAGGCAGGAATATCATAAGTTTGAGCCGAGCCAGGACAACATAGTGAGGCTCTGTCTTTAAAAAAAAAAAAGTAGGGCTGGGGATGTAACTCAGTGGCACTGCACCTGCCTCACAAGTTCAAGGTCCTGAGTTTGATCCCAGATATCGCAAAATAAATATATAAATAAATAAATATTTTAAAAAACCAAAACTAAGAGTGGGGGTACATTCCTATAATCCTAGCTCTTTTGGAGGTTGGGGGAGGAAGACTGCAATTTCAAGACCAATCTGGGCAACTTAGTGAGACCCTACTTCAAAATAAAATTTAAAAGGGTTGGGAGTATAGCTCGGTGATAGGGAGCATGCACAAGGCCCTGGTTTCGATTCCTAGCAGTGCAAAAAGGAAGAAAAAAGGAATGGTCTTGATTTTAGGAACCAGGTATTTCCCTGTTTACACCTTGTTTCAGGGTGGGATGAATGAGGGGTGGCAGAGTTCATGGTGTTTCTAAGGGAGTGACGCTTCTTCCTCCTCCAAGAGTAGTAAATAGGGGAAAGGTTTGGATAGAGAGAGAGGGTGAACTGCACTGCAAACCCAGCAGGACCACTTCCGGTGCAATTCCTGCCCCTCACACCGCAGAGCTCTGCGCTTGTACCCAGAATCCCGCCCTGTGTGCTGGGGACCAGACCTTGAGCAATAGCTCCTCAGTTCCCTGTTGCCAGCTCCTAGTAACCTCTTGTCTACCCTCTGACAGTATGAATGTGCTTTTTCCGGGTACCTTATAGTTCATCTGTGTTCTGGCATGTATCAGAATTTTATTCTTTTTGGAGTATAAGTGTTCCACTGTGTGGAATGAACATATATGTATATACCTCTGTCATTGGACAGTCAGTTGTTCCCACCTTTTCGTTATTTTGAATAATGCTTCTCTGAACACAGCATACAAGTATCCAGCAGTCCATTTTCAGTTCATTTGGGTGTGGACCTAGAAGTAGAATTGCTGGCTCCCGTGGTAATTCCATGTTTCACTTTTGAGGAGCTCTGACAGGCCCTATGGCTTTGATCCCCTCGTAGACATTTCAGAAATTGGGAGGAGCGCCAAGTCGTACTGCGAGCACACGGCCAGGACCCAGCCCACACTGTCGGACATTGTGGTCACACTGGTGGAGATGGGTAAGGGCGTCTGCACATCCACTCCCAGCTGCCTCATCTGCTTTTAGCTTGAGAATGATCAAGAGAGGGCGCCCCTGAGCCCTTGTAAGAGACTCCAGACCCTGACCCCTGCTGGGCCTCCTGCTGGTGGTTGCTTGGGTTTAAGCCTCCAATGTCCTGCACTGTCAGTGCACTTCCCACGCTTGCCGTCCTGTCCGGCGGGCCAGGCAGGGTTGTGTTTTCTCATCTCACAGGTTTCAACGTGGACACTCTCCCTGCCTATGCAAAGCGATCTCAGAGGATGGTCATCACTGCCCGTAAGTGACTTCACCGAGGACTCAGTAAGCGCTCAGCTACTGCTGTGGGTGAGCTAGGAGCTGAGCAGGGCTGGGATCAGACTGGCAGTGGTTTCTCTGTTTCCAGCCCCCTTCCAGTCTCTGGGGCCCTCTCAACCTAATCTTGTCTGGGCTCACAGGGTTGGGGTGTGAAGTTCAGTCCCATGGAGGAAAACCGTCTCTGTGACATCGCCCTGACTCCTGTGCTTTAGGCCCTGTAGCGCAAAGGCTGCTCTTCCTTAGGTCAGAGCTGCTGAACTGTGGCCCTGGGCCCAATGCGGCCCACTCTCTGCTTTGTTTTGGTTTGGTTTTGGTTTTGGAGACAAGCTCTCACTGCACAGGCCAGGCCAGCCTTGGACGAACTATGTAGCCCAGGCTGCTTCAGTCTTTTGGTGATCCTCCTCCTGCTTAGCCTCCCAAGTGCTGGGACTGCAAGCGTGCACCACCACGCCCAGCTTCTGCTGCCTGATTTGTAAATAAAGTTTTATTGGAGCACAGCCATGTTATCGTCCCTGCTTGCTTTCATGCTGTAGTGACAGATTTAACTGTGAAAAAGTGACTTTAAAGAAAAAAATCCAGGGCCGGGGATTTAGCTCAGTGGTTTTGCTGCCTGCTATGCAAGCACAAGGACCCGAGTTCGATCCCCAGTACCCCCCCAAAAAATAAAGTCACTTTTTTCTTTTCCTTTTCTTTTTTTCTTTTGAAACAGGGTCTCACTATGGGACGCACAGACTGGCCTTGAACACACTATGATCCACCTGCCTTAGCCTCCTGATTATAGGTGTGTGCCACCACACCCGGCCTAATGGCACTTTTTTCATATTGTCATCTTTTTAAGAATTCTTCTCAAGCAGGAGGATTGCTTTGAGTTTCAGGCCAGCCTAGTGCAAACCTGTCTCAAAAAACCAAAAACATGGTGGCAGAAGGATCGCCACAAGTTTGAGGCCAGCCTAGGCTACATAGTGAATTCAAGGCCAGCCCAAACTATATAGCAAAACCCTGTCTCAAAACAATAAGCAAACAGGGCCGGGGATTTAGCTCAGTGGCCCCATGCCTGCCTCGCAAGCACAGGTCCTGAGTTTGATCCCTGGTACTGCAAAAAAAACCAAGCAAACCAAAAAACCCCTAAGAATTCTTCTCAAAGTGGCAGTGGAAAATGCTGTTTTCACCTCCCTCTTGTAATCATGAAGCCCACACTTGCTTCTCCAGCTCCATGAATACCTTTGTTATTTGAAGCCTGAACATTCTGGGGGCCAGGAGGCGAAGGGGAGTGTGGTGTTTGAGCCCAGGGCTTCCCGTATACTAATGTGCTCTACCACTGAGCTACGCTGCCAGCTCCCCAAGGGTCCCTGGAGAGACTGGGGCACCCTAACTTCCATAGTTCTTTCACACGGTCTTTCCTGTAACTATGTTTGTCATGGCTCCCCACCTAGCAATCTGAGAGGCTTTCGGCACATTGCCACAGGTGGGAAGGTTAGTTGAGGCCAGCCGGCAGGCAGGCATTGTAGAGGCGACCTTTTCAGGTCCATGAGCCATCAAGGCCTTTTACTAGTAGAAGTGGGAAGTGCCTGCTGTTTAGAAAATTGTGGTCCAGGAGAGGAGGATTCGGGCGGAGATCAGTCTGTGGGGCCAGGGCCTTGCTGGAGGAGTAACTGCTTATGATTTTCTCGCAGCTCCAGTGACCAATCAGCCGGTGACCCCCAAGGCCCTCACGGCGGGGCAGAACCGACCCCACCCGCCACACATCCCCAGCCACTTCCCAGAGTTCCCCGACCCCCACACCTACATCAAGACCCCGGTGAGTGGCAGAGCCCGGCTGGGGCTGACGCTGAGCCCGCAGTCAGGTTGTTGGGGGAAGAGAGGTTTGGATATCACAGTGTCTGTGGCAGGTGGAAATTATGACCTCAAGTTGCCACCAAAGAAGTGGAGGCCAGAAATTGCCTGTCCCACCCAAACACAAAAGAACTTAGCCATATAGAAGCAAAACTGAAAGGCTATTCCACAAAACATTCGTGGTAATTCCTGATGAGATTATAGGTAGTTTTGATTGTTCTATATGTACGTTTCTGAGTTTTCAATTTTTCCATAATAGAAAAGTCATTTTTATTTATTGTGGTAGGTACTGAGCATGGAACTCAGGGTCTTCACGTTGAGCTGCATCTCCAGCCCTTTTTATTTATTTTGAGTGAGGTCTCTCTTAAGTCAACAAATTGCCCAGGCTGGGTTCAAATTTGCAATCCTCCTGCCTCAGCCTCCTAGAGTGCTAGGATTACAGGTATACCACACCCAGCTTTCTCCCCTCCTCTACTGGGGATCGAACTCAGGACCTTGCGCTTGCCAGGCAGGCACAGTGCCACTGAGCTACATCCCCAGCCCCAAACTTTTTTTCTTATTCTTTCTTCTTTTTGGTACTGGGGATCAAACTTGGGTCCTTGCGCTTGCAAGGCAGGTGGCAGAACCACTGAGCTAAATCACCGGCCTCTTTTTTTGGTACCAGGGATCGAACTATGGTCCTTGCGCTTGCGCCACAAAACCAGTGAGCTAAATCCCGGCCCTTTTTTTCTTTTTTTAAAGACACGGTCTCAGTATGCAGTCCAGGTTGGCCTTGAACTCAGTATATAGCACAAGCTGACTTCAAACTTGTGATCTTCCTGCCTCAACCTCCTGAGTGCTGGAATTACACATTTCTTAATTATTATTATTTTTTTTTGGTACCGGGATCAAACTCAGGTCCTTGCACTTGCGCAGCAGGCGGCGAAACCACTGAGCTAAATCCCCGGCCCTATATTTCTTAATTTTTAAGGTTAAAAATAAAGAGTGATGTCTTCACATCATTTTCTTTCTGCCCTTTCACTGTGTTCTGGAGATGTCATCCCTGAATGACAGTGAAGGCCAGTTTGGGAGGCTGAAGACCTCGAGGCAGCAGGGCAGGGACCAGGGACAGCAGAGAGTGTGGCTCTCACCTGGCGCCCTCGCCGATGTCTTTGCAGACGTACCGGGAGCCTGTGTCTGACTACCAAGTCCTGCGGGAGAAGGCAGCGTCCCAGAGGCGCGATGTGGAGCGAGCACTCACCCGTTTCATGGCCAAGACAGGCGAGACCCAGAGCCTTTTCAAAGATGACATCAGTACCTTCCCATGTGAGCACCACCCCGCTTGGCCGCAAGTCGTCATTAGCAATCACTGCACTGCTCCCCCTTCTCTCAGCCCAGGGACAAAGGAATAAGCCCCTGTCCTGTGGATGTGGCATATTCTCCCGATGTCGGGCTCCTCTTCCCAGCCTGTCGAGCCGGCCCCTGACTCTCAGGATTGGCTGCTAGGATAGTTTAGGTTCCAGTCACTGTGAGGGTAGCCAAGCCCGAGGTGTAGAACTCACATGGGAGAAGTGGTGGCCATTGGAGCAGATGGGCGCTGGTGTCAGGGCTGGCCGCTGTCACAAGGGCCCTCTCCGGTGCATCTCTGCACCGTCTGGCCATGTGGCCCAGGTCACTGCAGTGACAGCAGCTGACTTCCCAAATGCCAGACCCTGTGCTCCTCGCTTCCCACACTGCACCTGCTGTGGTCCTCTGCACCCACAAGTCAGGACTATCATTGTCACCTTCAGAGGAAGCTAGGGCTCACAGAGAAATTAAGTCACCGGCTCAGGGTCACAGGCTACGAGGTGGCATTCAGGCCTTGCTCCTCCTGCTCCCTGTGCCTCTGTCTGATCCACAGCAAAGATCCATTCAAGGCATCTCCTGAATTCATGCTCTAGCAGAGAAGAACACAGACAGGTATTTCATTCTGAGTACTGTGTTTTTTTTTTTTTTGGTACTGGGGATTGAACTTGGGTCCTTGCACTTGCAAGGCAGGTGACGGAACCACTGAGCTAAATCCCCAGCCCTGTTTTTCGTTATTTTTGAGCCAGGGTCTCACTCTGTTGCCCAAGATGGTGCTCAACTGATCCTCCTGCCCCAGCCTCACAAAAAGCTGGACTCCAGCCATGCACCACTGTGCCTGGCTAATTATTATTTTTAAATCATTTTCTTCCTTCACCCTCATTGCTTTTTGAAAAACTGAAACTGACTTACCAGGATCATCTTTCAGCACAGTGGACACTTACACACGGAACTCTCAAATTCAGCCTCTGGACTTACGCCCTTCAGGTTGAAGAGATCAATATCCTTGTGGTAGAAATGAGGGTTTGAGCCAGGCACAGTGATGCCCGGCTATAATCCCGGCTACTTTGGAGGCTGAAGCAGGAGGATTGCTTGTTCCAGACCAGCCTGGGCATATTTTTTTTTTTTTTGGTACCGGGGATCAAAAGCCTGGGCAATTTAACAAGACCCTGTCTCAAAATTTTAAAAAAAGAGAGGGAGAAAGAGAGCGAGATAGATGTACTCAGCAGTAGAGCAAGTGTTAGTGTACAGGAGGCCCTGGGCTCAGTCCCTACCAGTACTTGCAACAGCAAAGGAAGGAAGGAGAGAGAGAAATGAGGTCTAGAGGGCCTGACTGACCTTGGGCAAGAGGTCACATGGCCATTGCATCCCCAGGACCCCATCTGTCACCCGATCATTCTGTATGAATGTAGTCACACTTGCTGACAGTGGGCCCAGCGTCTCACTGCCCGAGTTCAAATCCCCCCCTGGCATTTCCTGTGTGCTTGAGCAGTGCGCTAACCACTGTGCACCAGGCTCCTTGTCTGTGCGTGGGGTGGCACCTGCGCGATTTAGCAGGGTGGGTGAGGGTTAGGGGTGAGGGTTGGGGGTGGCACACAGGAGCCGGGTATGCGCCTGCCCCACTGTGCCGTGCCGTGCCGTGCCGTGCCGGAGCTCAGGAGTCCCTGTTGTCTCCCATGCCGCACACTGCCTGCTGCAAGGCTTGGCACAGCTGCATGGACTCGAGACAGTGGCGGTGCCTCCCTTTCCGTCCCCAGTGATCGCTGCCCGGCCCTTCACCATCCCCTACCTGACAGCCCTTCTGCCCTCGGAGCTGGAGATGCAGCAGATGGAGGAGACAGACTCCTCGGAGCAGGACGAGCAGCCTGACATGGAGAACCTGGCCCTGCACATCAGCACGGTGGGTCCCGCCCCAGTCTCTGGGGGCCCTGTGGTGATCTGATGGGGGTGCCTTGCTCCCCAGCAGACATCCAAGTCCTGAGGAGTCACACATCCATTCCCGACTGTCGCCTGGACCAGGCGCAGCGCCAGGGGCTGGGGAACTGACAGCATCCCCTGCCCTCATGGAGGAAGGAGAAGTGACAAGTGAGGAGAGGGGAAGCGGGGATGGGGGCAGGACGGCTGGGGATTGGAAGGTGACACTGCGCTGCACTCTGTCCCCATAGCCGCCCTCCCAGTCAGCCTCAGCAAGCTGTAGAACCAGAATCTCAGTGACCTTCCTGCCATGGAGCCCTTGGTGTCTCTAGGGGGCACCGCTCATGGCCCTGGTCCCCAGGCCTGAGCTCCTAGGTCACATTTTGGGAGTGTGATTCCCCCCATCCCTGTGCCCCCTGCTCACTGTAAAGAACATGGAAAATAGAGGAAAGTATCAATAAGGAAAGAGAATCACCCAGACTTGTAGGGCAGGTTTTTAAAATTTCAATGTATTGCTTTTTATTTCTAAGTTTGCACATATGTGATTTTTAACATTTTAATTGCAGTCATACCAAATATACATAAGCTGAAGATTTCTCCAGAATCCCATTTTTCTCGAATAAACAGTAAAAGTCCCAATCGGGGTCACAGACAGGCAGTGTCTGTGACGGGCACACGGTCCTGGCAGCTGGGAGGTGCCGTGTCGGGACCCCAGAACCTAGGAGTTTCTGGCTTGTGCTGGAATATGGTCACTGGCACCATATTGCAAGTACAGGAAGTTGGAAACTTGGGGGAAAACCTGTTCCAAGTTGTTCATTTTGGCCTAGGTGACCCCCGAGGACGAGACCTGCTCTGGCCTGGTCCCTGGGCCTGCAGGCGCCCAGGCCACTGCCTGTTCTCCATCTCCCACTGGGCCGGGCTTCTCTGGGCAGCATCTGAATGGCAGCCCCTGCTCCCTGCCAAGGGCTCGAGACCTGTCTCGGTGCGGCACTGTGACAGAGTGGGGAGTCCCGTATTCTCCTCATCGCAGCTGCCGCCTTGGCGAGCCCAGAAGGAGCGCTAGAAAGCAGGAGGCTCCTGGTGAAAGCTGCCCTGGCAGTGCTTGGTGTGGGCCCGATCCCATCTTTTTCTTCTGAGATTGGTGTTTTGCTTCATTTCGTTTCTGTTCAAAGGACGAGTCCGGGGCGGAGAAGGAGAACACATCTGTGCTGCACCAGAACCCCTCCTTGGCGGGCAGCCGGAATGGGGAGGAGACCGTCATTGATAACCCCTATCTGCGCCCTGTGAAGAAACCCAAGATCCGCAGGAAGAAGTGAGTTGGGGGCCGGAGTCCTGGGTGCCCACTGCAGCCCACCTGGGTGCTCCTTGCTGGGAGAGAGGGGGCTCAGGCCCAGGGACGACCTTTCTCAGTCCGGCTGGTTTCCCCTGAGGGCTGCATGCTGCTGCTTCTCTCTAGGTCCCTGTCCTGAGCCGAGGAGGAGGCCTGGCTTACAGAGGGACACAGATACCGCCCTCCTGGGGGAGTTGAAGCCACTGGGGGGAAGAAGTGGTGACCTCCTGGTTGCTGATCAGAGGCCGCAGGATGGGGTCTGGCAGGATTTTAATGGCAACCTCACATCACCTCTTTTCACTGGAAGTCTGGGTCGAGGAGGAAGCGATGGGAATAACAGGACTTTCCTAATCACCCAGGCTGCAGTCCTGTGTCCTGGGGCCTGGCGGCAGCTGGGGACTTCATTTATGATCCCAGAACTGTATCCCTTTGAAACCTGAGGAGTGGGAAGAGTTCTTGGCTGCCTTGCTCTCCGCCAGGAAGTCTGTTCCAGGCTCTGGGGTCCCTCTTATGACTCGCAAACAGTTGCAGCACTGATGTGACAACCCGGCACCTGACCCTTGCTTCTCTCCTCTCCCGGGCTGCAAGCGCCCTGTGCAGCTGCTGGAAAGGCCCTTGTGCCTTGTGTTGGGCCCAGGAGTCCACATGCCACAGCTTTGACCTAGCACTCGCTGCAGTCGGGTGCTGCAGGCAGATGTGTTAAGGTGGCAGACACTGGCAGGGCAGGGCAGCTCCTCCGGGCAGGGACATCCTGAGGGATTGTCATTCACTGTCCCTCATGGAAGGTGTGCTTGGGACCTGCCCCCCACCAGAGACTTCCTCTGACAGCAGCCTGGCCCCTTCGGCGCCTCACGCTGTGTCTTGCGAAAGAGCAGCTAAAGATTTTAAAGAAGAGGAAAAGAAGTTAGCAGCGTTGGCTGGCATGTTGCAGGCTGGGACTGGGCTTGTGTTTTAGAGCCCAGAAACCTGGCTGCTCTGCAGGAGGCTGGTGCAGACAAGAGCCATGTTCCTGCCCGATGGGGCAGGGGTGATGGGAGCTGAGTGAGCCAGGGCTTCTCCAGGAAGCAGGTCTGAGTCTCCTCAGCCTCCTCACCTGCTGACTGAGGGCACTTTGTCACTGATGTACCCTATAAACCAGACGGAAAACAAGGTTTTAAGGGAGATGTCAGGCCCGCTGATGTCCCTTGGCTGGTCTGTAAGGGAGCAATTTTAAAACCAGATCCAGGGCCAGGATGTAGCTCAGCGGCACTGCACCTGACTCACACGCACAAGGTGCTGAGTTCAATCCCCGGTACCAAAACAAACCAAACAGGTCCAAGAAGGAAGAGCTCCGTGGCACCCGGAAGTTGGCACAGTTTGATGCAGTCGCCCCGGTAGGCTCCTGCGGGCCTCGTTCAGTGCGCTGCCCCCACTGTCATCACCACAGACACTGGCCCAGTCACTGGCCCATCATTGCAGAAACTGCATAGTCCTCCGTGTGTATTTATCAATTCCTATTTTTTGTAACTTTGGGGGTCTTACTAGAGGAAAAGAGAGAGTAGTAAACAGCAGGATTAAAAGGGTGATTTATGAAAGGCCCATAATAAAATCTTTGTAAACAAAAATTAAAATCATAAACTTTGTAAGTAAGCAGCGCTGTTAGGCATTGAACTTGATTTGTGTTTTTAACAGCTGTTCCCCAAGGCTGCATGCGCGCGCGCACACACACACACGCACACGCGCGCGCACACACACACACACACACACACACACACGAGTAGGTGGCCCAGTGGACAGTGTGTCCTGGTGTTAGGGAACCACAGAAACCCCGATGTGTCCCTCACCCTGCCTCAACACTCAACATCCTGTTGATTCTGTTTCATCCCTTTCCTCCATTGTTTGTTTTCTTTTTTCTTTTTTTTTTTTCTGTACCAGGGATCAAACTCAGGACCTTGTGCTTGCAAGGCAGGTGTCGGCACCACTGAGCTAAATCCCCGGCCCTGTTTTCTTTTTCTTGATACAGGGTCTAACTATGTAGCCTACCCTCCAACTCATGGCGATCCTCCTTCCTAACCTCCATAACAGGGCTGAGGTGACAGTGGGTGTCGGCTCCTCAGAGCCTGGTGGGTGTGGCCTGGCCTGGCTGCCACCTGCTGAGCTGCAAGTGACTGAACTGCTGGGGTCAGAGCTGCACAGTGAAGGTGCTAGTAATGTCTCTGCGGTGTCACTGAGCAGTGGCAGTGGAGAGACAAGTGTCACTCTCCCAGTTGGCATTAATCTTATTCAAAGGGGGGCTGCCTCCTTCCTCAGAGAGGGTCACCTGTGGGTGACAGGGCCGCCCTCGGCCTGTCACAGAGGTGAGTGGGCAGAAGGGCTGGTGGGGCCTTGCTTCTGGCCGAGGCTCTGCCCTCTGGGAGTTCCAGCCTGGAGCAGCAAGGGCCCTGGGCCTCTCCTCTCCGAGATGCCTGAAGCCGACCAGACACAACCCCAGCCTCTCCGGCCCCACCCCCTTGGTGCCTTCTTCTTGCCATCTAACTCCTTTCTACTCTGCTGCTTCCTGCTCACCACCATGCTCAGAGCTGTCACAAACCCAGTCCCTTCAGGACACCAAAGCCACCCTGCAGCAGAGGGACCTGCCCTGGTCTCCGAGCATCCACAGCAGGCACCCAAGCTGCTCTGGGACTCAGGGGTCCAGCCAATCCACTGTCCCAGGAACGTTGTCCACCACAAAGAGAGGTTTCAGGTTCATCTGTGCTAGGCAGGCCTTTCCTTTCCAGGGATCCAAGGGAAGAACTATCTAGAACCCCTGGAAAACTCAGGGAGCCTCTGTATTGTAATAAAGGTTCAGACTGGGGATGGTGGCACAGGGCTGAATTCCAGCACTTGGGAGGCTGAGGCAGGAAGATTGCTGTGAGTTTGAGGCCAGCCTGGGCTACATAGTGAGCTCAGTTGCTGGGACCCTCTCTTGAGCCACCCTGGGATAAGACATTCCCCCTAGGCAGGTCAACCAAGGGATGTCCCCAGATGTTGGTAGTTGTCCCCCAGGAGTGAGGTCACCCTGATGAGAAGCACTGAGTGGGCATCCAGGCCCCAGCAAGGAGCTGGTGGAAAAGTACTGGGGACTGGCGGGACTTTTCCCCTGGAGCAGAAATGACTGTCACTGTCCCTGTGTACTCTCCCTGAGGCTGGACTCCAGGAATGTTCTGGAATCCAGCGTGACACTGAAGAGGGCAAAGCTGCTGGGAATCCAGGCTGCTCTGTGACCTGGGGCAAGGGAGGTCCCAGCCTCTGGGACACAACACCTCCCTGCCCCCCAGGGCTGTGGGCCTCTCAGGGAGTAATCACAGCACTGCGGTCACTAGGAGGGACACTGCCCGGCCCAACATGAGTGGGGGAAGGGAGGGCCCGGGCGCAGGGCCAGGCGACACCTGCAGGCACGAGGCCTGGACCTCAGAGTGGTCCCGAGCAAGCGACCACGAGGGGTGGCGGCTGCCATGGCCTCCGAGAGGTGGCTGTTGAGCCAGGACAGGCCCCAGGGAGGGACTTGGCTGAGAGCCGCCAGGTACACCTCTCAGGGTCCTGGCCAGGAGAGTCACGGCTACAAGTCAGGGCTCAGGGCTCTGCTTCGAGGTAGACATGAAAAGAAGCAGAATTGTGGCACTCACTCAGGAATCCTCCCAGGCTAACAGGGATGCCGTGGCCACCTCCGGGGTGTCCCAAGCCTGTTTTCTCTTCTTTCTGTCCCTCTAGAGTAGGAACTCCGAGAGGCCTGTCACAGCCTCCCCAGCTTGGGGACAGAGGGCTCCTTACCACCCTCCAGCTGTGTGACTTCGGCCAGGAGGTTGGCCAGGTGGACTTCCTGTGGGGATGGTCAGCTGGGGGCCGTTGTGTGATGACAAACGGCTGACTGCCTCCCGGGCACTTGTTCAGAATTCGAGTTCTGCCACCACACCTGACTTCAACCTCCCTTGAATCTAAATCCAAATTTGAATTCTTTTTTTTTTTTGGTACCGAGCATCGAACTCAGGACCTTGCACTTTCGAGGCAGGCGGTAGAACCACTGAGCTAAATCCCCCGCCCAAACTTGAATTGTACTTGCTGCCTTAAATTCAGGCACCTGTGGGCAAAGCGTCACCTACTAGTTACCGCGGGTCCGTGCACACAGGGACGGACACCAGGACACCTGGAGAAAGCGGCTGACATGAACGTAAGGGGAGGTCCCCGAAGGGCCGGGTGGCAAGGGCTTGCGTGTGGGGCACAGCCGGAAAAGCAAGCGCTCCTACCCAGCCGGCTCCTGCCCTACGTGCCCTCCTGCCCGTGTGATGCCCGCCTAGCGAGCCGGCGGGTGCTCCTGGTGGGGGAGCCGGGGACCCCCTGCTCTGCAGCCCTGACTTGTGCGTCTCTTGCGCCTCCTGCGCTTCGGGAGCCGCTGGCCTGGGTGCCTGACTCGCACCCACAGCGCCCCTTGTGGCGTTGCCCTGAACTGTTCAAACTGCGTGGCCCTTAGCTTTGTGGAGCAAATGCTGGCAAGTTGAGTCAAAGGGCTGCAAAGTGAGCGACAGAGGTATAGAGAGAGAGAGGGAGGGAGGGAGAGAGAGAGAGAGAGAGAGAGAAAGAAACAGGACCAAGGCAGGAAGAACGAGTGCTCGAGGGCCCTTCGGCACGAGGGAGTCTGCCAGGCCTTCTGATGGCTCAGGAGACAAACTGGACAGCAGTTAGCGGTGGAATCTGCAGGACGAGGTGGAGTCGGCCTGGAGGGCAAGAAGGCCCCGCTCCTGAGATCCGCACCTCAGGGCTCTAAACCCTCTTGCTGAAGGGTAAGCAATGTCGAGAGAAGTGAGCAGAGACTGAGGCCTCGGGCTGCAGGGCTGGGAGCCCTGGCTGGCTGAGGACAGAGGCCTTGTCCTGCTCCGGGGCAGCCCAAGGTCCCCATGGCCCAGCCCATGATGCAGCCAGTTTAGAGACCAGGGCCCAAACTCATGTATCACAGAGAGGCAACACCGCAATTAAACCCCAATACTGAGGTTTTAGTTTAGAAAAAACAGCTTGTACTTGTACACTAACATCTTTTGTTTTAATAGAAAAACAAGTAACACGTGTGCCATAAATTCACCACCACTGCCCTTTCTCTTTTTTTGGTAGCTGGGATTGAACTCAGGACCTTGTGCTTGTGAGGCAGGCAGCAGAACCACTGAGCTAAATCCCCGCCCCCTGCCTTAGCCCTTTCTAAGAACATGCTGGGTGTGGTGGCACACACCTCTGATCCCAGCACTCAGGAGGCTGAGGCACGAGGACTGCTGTGAGTTCAAAGCCAGCCTGGGGTACACAGTGAGACCCTGCCTCAAAAATAAAATATAATAATAAATAATAAATAAATAAAGGCTGGGGATGTAGCTTAGTAAGAAAGACCTGAGCTCAATTCCCCGTACCACAAAAACAACAGCGACAACAAAATCCTCTGATGTCCTCACCTGGTACTATCACTTCCTACCTCCTGGGTCTCCATTTGAGGGCACTGAGTCTTGGCCCATCAGGCTGGAGCCCCAACTTCAAGGTGCCCCAATACCTTAGTGATGAAACCTTAGGGACCTGTCCCTAAAACTGCACCTTCATGCCACCTGCAAGCTCAGCAGTAGATTGGGTGACACACATCTAGAAAAATCAGGGTCAGATGTTCACAAGTCTGTGGGAGATAGGCCTTTAAGGCACCTAAGGAGTGCTTGACAATATTTGATTAAGTACATAATTCCAACTTCCCAGGAGGCTGAGGCAGGAGGATCACAAATTCCAGGCCATACTGGGCAAATTAGTGAGACCCTATCTCACAATAAAATAAAGGCGCCTGATGCAGTTCAGTAGTAGGTTTGCCTAGTGTGTGGAAGGCCCTGGGTTCAATTCCCAGTACCACCCCCCCCAAAGAGGTGTTAACATGTATTCATTCAACAAACACGTTGAGCATCTGCTTGGGCCAGGGACAGCACCACATACAGGGGCTGCTGTGATAAATGAAACAGGCACCTTTTGAGTTGTGGCACATCTGAGCTGCTGGGGAGACAGCAGCATGACATCAGTGCATGGGGTGCAGTGGGAGCCCCTCGTGGGTCTGTCAGGTGAGTGTTCCTGTGGCTGAGCACAGGGCAGGGATGTGGCAGGGCCAAGGAGGACACCTGCAGGGGCTGTGAGCAGCTGGGCCTCGGGAGGAGCCAGGCAGAGAGGCTGAGAATTTGGGGCCTGGCCCGGCTGTGTGTGTCTCACCACCATGGGAAGGTGGGAGGAAAGGACCCTAACCCTAACCCTTGCGCTGAGCTGCATCCCAGCCCTTTATTGAGACTGGGCCTTGCTAAGTTGCTGAAGTCTCAAGGAGGGGTGCAGGGAGGAGGGGCTCATCAGTGCCAAACCAGCTCACAGGGCCCTGAGATCCCCAGGGTGGGGCTGATCTCTGGGTAGACCAGTTGTCCAAAGCAGGTCCACAGCCCCTGGACCCAGGAGTGAGGTGGAGTGGGCTGGAAGCCTGGCCTCATGATGTCCCTCAGGCTAAAGATGGACTCCGAGAGGACAGGGTAGGCGGGAGGGAAGAGCAGGTCAGGGCCAGCCTGACAGGCCGCTGGGAGGTGTCCTCCTTTCCCCTGCAGCTGTCATCACCCGGCCCTGCAGCTCTGCCTGCAGTGAGCCCCAGGCTGGCCTTCCAGGGGGAAACCCCGGGCAGCACCTTTTCCCAGGGTCCCCTTCTGTGTGGCTGCCTGGTTGCAGCTCTGGGGCAGGCTGGGCCCAGCCGGAAGGTGGGGCTCTGGGCTGTGGGGCTGGGCCCACCCAGGGAGCCTGGAGGCTTCAGAAACCAGGGTGTGGCCCAGGAGCCCTGGCCCAGCCCAGGTGCTAGAGTGGCTTCCCCACTCGAGTCCTCACTCTCCCCGCCAGAAGTCTGGGCCAGTATAATCAGGACAGGGCAAAGGGGCGCAGGGCAGCATGGGGTTCTTCTGCTGGACCTCAGCGCCCTCCAGGGGCTGCATTTCCTCCCCAGTGACAAGGGCTCGGCTCGGGTATCACAGGTATGCACCAGCTTAACTCTCCATGTTTCTGGGCACTTTTTATTCTCTTTTACCTCCGCTGTTGCCAAGCCAGGAGCCAGGAACCGTGTGTGGATGGCTGTATGCCCATGCCAAGCACAGTGCCTGGCACCCAGCAGCCCCATAAACCCTTGCTACATGAGTGTGTGGCCATCTCCGATCTTCACAGAGCCTGCGGAGGTAAACACTGCTGTCGTGTCCAGAAGAGTCCAAGAGTCTTGCAGAAGGACACTGTTTATTATCACCAGCCCTCGGTTCTGCTCATTCCCCGGAGGGATTTGGAGAAGAGGAAAACGAGGTCAGACACCAGGGCGGTCAAACGTCCTGTGCTCGGCATTCCCAGCAGAGCTGCCCAAGTCTCCCACACCCAGGAACTCCGAATCATCACTTGCAGCCGCAGAGCTGAAGGCCAGTCCCAACTGGCTCGTTTATTTCCCAAGCCAAGTGAGACCAAGCCCTTCTCCACCCACCCCAGAGCAACGCAGAGCCCATGTCACACCCCTTCCTCAAGCCTCAGCACTGCAGATGAATTAGCGATCTCTTTTCTTTTCTTTTTTGGTACCAGGGATTGAACTCAGGACCTTGCACTTGCGGGGAAGGTGGCAGAACCACTGAGCTAAATCCCCAGCCCTAGTGATCTCTGTTCTAAAACACGGCACCGGAAACACGAGTATTTCTAGAGCCAGGGCTGGTGTTGAGCAGAGCTGCATCCTGAACACAGGGACCCAGACCCTGTCCCCTCGGGATGGCTGGCCAGGGCCACCCTGCTCCTAACCCACCCTACACTGTCTTTCCTGGAAGTGGCTCTGGTATCTGTCCCTGAAGCCTAGGCCCTTGGCTAATGATCCGGTATCTTGCTCCCAAGGGAAGCTGCTTCTAGGCTGCCCCAATTAAGGGCCACCCCCTGCCTTCCTCCTGACTCCCCGGCCCCAACCTGGAGACAAAACTGAGAGTGAATACAATGCTCTTATGCCAAGCAGGACTTAATACGGGGTTCTGATTCATTGGAAAACAGGCATAAGCGTGGACTGCCCGGGTAAAAGACAAATGGTCACCCCTGCTCTGAACTGGCCAGTCCTGGTACTCCCAGCTTCCTGAAACACCTGCCCCACCAGCAGTGACCTTCTCTGGGACCTGTGTTCCCATCTTCCACTTTCCAAGGCCCGCCAGCATTTGGGCCTGCGTAAGTCACAGTGGGTTCGGGAACCCTCACACGAGACCTGGGCACGCAGGGGCTGTTTTCAGGCCCCAATCCTGAGGGCTGCTTGGTCTGCACAGGAAGCAGCCTTCATCCTCGGTCTCCTGTCCCTGCTCACCAAGTCTCTCTGCCTGGGCCTCCGTGGAGCTAAGGGCAGGGCCACGTGGACAGGAACCCACCCCACAACGCCCAGTGCCCCTCGGGTTTCAGCAACACTTAGAACCTGCTCAGCAGTCTGGGCTTGCACAGCTGCTCTCAGTGAATCTCACTAAAGCAACCGCCAGCAAACAGCAGAGGCTCAGGGCGCGCAGGACTCCCGCTCTTCTTCCTCCTCACCCTCCCCAGCCCCTTCTGCAGGGCCCCAGCCACACCACACCGTGGCTTTGGAAAACAGAGCCCGGATCCCTTCTCAGGCTTCCTTGTGCTCCTCGTCATGTCTTCGGAGAACGAAGACTCTTCTGTGTCTGGATCAGGCTGACACCTGCTTCAACCCTCCCACCCCCCACCAGGACAAATTCCCAGCCCCAACCCCTCGGAGCAGAGCTGAGAGCCACGGGCTCAGGACATGGCTTTCCGGTGGGCTCGGGAGTAGGCATAGGAGATGGGATGGCGCGTCCCGGGCCTCACAGTGAAGGTGTTGATGTGTGACCTGGGAGAGGGCGAGAGAGCCGTAAGCTTCATGCACCGCTGGTCCCTCACCCTGCCCTGTCCTCCAGGGCACCAGACACACCAAGCAAGCGAGACCTAAGGCGGCCCCTCCAGGCCTCGGGGTGCCCTCCTGCCACCCCAGTCCTCCCACCCCGTCCACCGCCAGCCCAGGCCCAGCTTACCTGCCCGTGGCAGGCTCGAGGCAGTGCTCCCCCGCCAAGTCCCCAGGCACCCTGTACTTGGCATCACCCATGCCTCGTGCCACAGTGCCCTCCAGTGACATCCGCCGCCCGTGGACTGCGGCAGGGTGTGGGCATCCGGCGGAGGGGAGGCGGCGAGGCGTCGGGCCGTTGGGGGTGCCCTGGCTGCGGCCAGGTCCAGGGGCGTGGGGTGGCTCCCCCCCAATGTACAGCCGCTTCTTGATGAGCGATCGGCCCCCGGGGCAGCCACGCTCCAGGACATGTGGGAAGGCCAGGCCAGGCGGCCGCCCCAGGTCCTTGAGAACCGAGGGAGCAGGGTTGTTGCTGAACTCGGGCGGCGGCGGAATGACCTCAAAAGTGAACTCCTCAGCCTCAGCCTCAGCCTCAGCCTCCCGCCGCCTGCAGAAAGGTGAGGGTGGCGACGACAGGGACCTGGGGAGCAAGGGGTCCTGCGGGAGGCTGGAGGGGATGGGCCTGTCCCAGGTCCCCCCGGGTGCAGGGCGCTGCATCGTGGTCCACCAAGGCCGCGAGGGCGGCTCTGCGCCCTCTGGGGACTTCTGCTCGCTGGGCAGCAGGGTGACCTTCTCCACCTCCTTGGGTGACTTGGGGACCACGGTGAAGGAGCTGGGCTTGCCGTCCGTGGGGAAGACGCTGTCAGACTTGGGCTCCGGCAGGCCGCCACAGCCTCGAATGCTTCCAGGCAAGGACCGCCCTTGGGCAAGCCCTCCAGGCCTCCCCTTCTGAGCCCGCTTCCGGGCTGCCAGGAGCAGGGCCATAGGGGACCCGCGCTCCACCACCTCCCCGGTCACGGGGTGCCGAAGCAGTTGGTCAGCAGGCGGGGATGGGGATGGGGGCAGGGGTGCGGCTGGCCAGGCTTGGGGCCCCTGCAGCTCCACAGGACCCCCCAGACCCATGGCTGTCCCTCTGGCCACCATGGGCAGCTCTGTGGCCTCATTGAGGCTGGGGCTGCTCTGGTGGCTATGGGGCTTGTAGAAGAGCTGCACCTCTCCCCGGCCCAGGGTTGCCTTGGATGTGAGCAGTCTGGCGGGCTCTGTCGGGGGCGCTTCGCCTTCCTGAGGTTCTGGCTGCTCTCGCTGCCCACGTCGCTCAGCTGGGACCCGCTCCTTCTCTGCCGTCAAGTAGGGTGGCGTGGCGGGCATCATGGTGGCCGAGGATGATGTGGCCAGCCCAGGGGTGGCCGGGGTCCGCAGCTGAAGTGTGGTAGACAGAGGCAGTGGATCCTTGGCCACAGGCTTGGGGAATTTGCCATTATCTGTCCCGTTTGCCAAGCTTAGTCCCCCTCCTGGCCGGGGTTTGGGGGGCAGTGACCCCACACTGGGCCTGGCGTCCTTCTCTGCGGATGCAGACAGCCGGGCCTCCAGCTCCTTCCGGATCTGCTGGACACTGCGGGCTGGGGTGTCCTGGGGGTCGTAGTCCACCGGGGGGAGGGCCAGGGTGGGACCCTTCTCGGGGACCCCCGGGGGCATCTTCTCAGGCAGGATCCGGGGCACTGCCTCTGCTGGGGGACTTGGGCCCTTCTTGCCCTCCTTGTCCTGAGCAGCCACCGTGGGGCCCGGCCTGTGACGGAGGGCTCTGTCCTCCTTCCTGGGGCCACACAGATAGGCTGCCAGCTGGCTCCGCAGCTGCTCCAACTGGCTGGGGTCGCGCCAGTCTGCTGGCTCTGAGGAGGCCTCAGGCGCCGGTGTGGGGAGTTTGGGTTTGCACTTGGGTGTGGGTTTGAGAGTGGGCAAGCTGGATTTGGGGTGCTTTGGGAATGCAGCAGCTGGAGGGGCAGCCTGTACAACAGAAGGCTGTGGAGGGGGAAGTGGGGGTGCAGGAGGGGGTGGAGGACGGGCAGGGGGTGGAGGCCCAGCTGGTTCATTTGTGGGGGGCTCTGCCTGGCTGAGCCCTGGGCTGGGTGGAGCCTCAGCCTTGGGCTCCCGAGGGTGGCCTGGCTCAGCGGCCCTGTTGGGGTACACCTGGGACGCAGGGCGGATGTGGAAGCTGGGGGGCACTAGGAGGTGGCTGGGGGTCTTCTTGATGGTACCCTCTTCCTCTGGGGGACCCCCTTGGGCTTCCTGAACTGAGATAGATGAGGTCCGGACTGGGGCTGGGGGGGGCACCTTGGACAAACGGGGGGCAGTGAGGTTGGTCTCAGGGTGTGGGCCCTTTGGCTGGGCGGGGCTCCTGGGGGGGCTGGTGCTGGGGGTCTCTGGCTGCCTGCCATTCAGGGCCACATCTGAGGTCCACTTGGTGACCCCCCCAGAGGGAAAGAGGCGGGTCCCCTCTGTATGGGCCGCAGGGGCCAGGGGTGGTGGAGCTGGCACGGTGGGTGGCAGAGGGGCCAGAGACACCAAGGGAGGGGCAGGCGGGATGAAGTCGGGCAGGCCGGGTGTGGTGGGTGGGGAGAGGATCTCCAGGGTGGGGGGCGGGGGTGGTTCCAGCAGCAGAGGGGGAGGCGGGGGAGCTGTGGAAGGGGGCGGTGGTGGCAGAGACTCCCCTGGGGCCTGTGGAAAGTCCTGGGGTGGCCCCGGGGCTGGGCCTGGGGGAGGTGGGGGGATGAGTGGGTCGAGGCCATAGTGCTGGGGCCTCAGGTCCCCCACAGAGCTGTAGAGCCGGAGGCTGCCATTGACCAGTGAGTTGCCACCTGAAAGAGAAGAGAGGCCGAGGTGGGGCACTTGGCACGCCTGCCTGCCGGGCACGGGGCTGAGGCTGTCCCTGGCTATGCTTCACCTCTGCGAGCAAGAGGAGAGAGCTGCGAGGTGACCCCAACAACCTGGCCTGCAGATGGGAGGCCCTGGCCCAGCAGCGTGCACTGCTCACCACTCCTTGGCCTGGGCCTCCCTCCACTTTGGGCCTGGCAGAGCAAGGCGGTGGGGAAGGGGGTGCTGACAGGCACAGGGCACCCAGGCACCAGGCTCCATGTTAGGAGCTGGAACATAGCAGTAAACAAAGCACCAGCTGGGCGTGGTGGTGCATCCTTGATTCCAGCACTGAGGCAGGATCACCATGAGTCCCAGGCCAGCCTGAGCTACACAGTGAGACTCTGTCTCAAAAACAAATGAAATAAAACAAAAAAGCAAAACAACCACAGGGCCGGGGATTTGGCTCAGTGGTTTCTACGCCTGCTTCGCAAGCACAAGGACACCAGTTCAATCCCCATGTACCAAAAAACCCCAAAAATAAATAAATAAAATAAAATAAAACAACAACAACAAACAAAGCACCAACAGCCACACAAAATGAAATGCAGGCACCTTTCCAGCATATGCTTTCAGGGGACAATGAGACAGCACACACGTTAGTAAATTATCACCATGGCCGTGTGTGGCAGGGGAAAACCAGTGGGGCAGGAGCCGAAAGCTGTTGGTGACCCCTGTTGGCGGCCTCGTGGCAGGGGGACAGGGAGAGAATGGCCTGGTGTCCGGCAGAGCCTTCCAGGCCAGGGCAGCCAATGCCAACTCCCTGAGCGCAGTGCATCTGCAGTATTTAAGGGGACCGAGGGGCAGGGGCAGAAAGCAGGTGAAAGGCCCACCCTGGTGTCCTCCCAAGGCCTTTCCTTTGAGTGATACAGGAAGTTCCTGGCCAGTTCTGAGTAGAGGTGTGCCAAGTGACTTACATCCCTCCAATATTCACTGATGGCCCCAAAAGGGACAGAAGTGTGAAGGGTGGGAGGAGCTGGGCTCACAGCCAGGATTGTCTGACATCACTGGTTTGGGATCTGCCTGCCTCAGCCTTCCAGAGTGCTGGGATTACAGGTGTGTACCACCAGGCCCGGCCCGGAGCCTAGCTTTTGAATTCAGAGCCAAAGGAGGAAGGAAGGAAAGGTGGACAAGCCTAACCCCCAGGGTCCTCTTACCTGTCACATCTTTGCCTGCAAAATCTTCAGGGACAGAGGGGGTTGGCACAGCCAGCCCATGATTCTCCTGGGTGTTCTGAAAGGGATCAGAGAGATCAGGGGATGAGAAAGGAGAGACAATGGACTATCAAATCACTGCAGTGAGGCCACTGTACGCCTCAAACCCCGTAGGATGGCCTGGGTGTGCAGCCTGGAGCCCGAGCTCACAAAACCTGAACGGTGAATTTCAAAGGGCAGATCTGGGCCATGGTTCCTTTGTATCACTCCTGCTGGTTCTGTTCTGCAAGCTGCAGCCAGCGAGGGGTCCCTGCTCCTGAGGGGGATACAGGCTGGGTTCCTGCAAACCCCCAGGCAGTGCATAACCCTGTCTTGTGCTTGTGTTGAAAGACAAAGAAATTTGAAAGAGTGGCACTAAGTAGAGAAGGACAACAGCTCCAGTGCTGATAGCTGAAAGGAGAAGACGCAGTGTCCTGTCTGGCTTCAGCTGCCCACAGTCACACGGTCTGAGCCCGGTGGCCACAGAGCAACCGGACTATTGATCCTGGGTTACAAATCAACTCCAGCCACCAGGCCAGCCTGCAGGGACAGACTGGAACCTTCAAGGGCCCTATCTCAACTAAATACAGACACGGAAACATCCAAGGCAGCCCTCCCGGCCCCACAGTGAAGAGCTCGAGACTCCCGCAGAGCCCTCCCATCTCTAACCTTAGCAGGCCGACACCTGCCCGGGGCCACATGATTTGCATTCTATTTCCTCTCCCTAAACAGAAGTTCCCAAAGTCAACAAAGTGCGCACACCTGTCCCTGTGAGGAGTGGCAGAGCGTTTCATGGCTCTCAATGACCTGGCCTCCCATCCCAGCCAACTTTTCTTCCCCACACACCCATGACATCCATCTTGCATTCCAGCCTGGCCACTCCCCCTGACCGCACTTGGAGACCACAAGCATCCAGATGCTGGAGGTGGGTGGCTGGGGTCCCCTCCCCAGATCCATTTCTCCTTCCTTTGCACTGACCTACATCCTCAGCACTCCCCTTTAACTACAGGTATTCTTTCTCTGGTTTGTTTTGGTAAGACAGGGTCTATGTAGTTCAGGAGATCCTCCTGCTTCAGCCTCCCAGTGCTGGGATCACTGGCATGCATCACCATGCCCAGCCCTCATTTTCCCTTTCTTACTCAAATTTTTTTTTTTTTTTGGTACCGGGGATCAAACTCGGGTCCTTGCTCTTGCGCAGCAGGCAGCGAAACCACTGAGCTAAATCCCCAGCCCTCATTTTTCCTTTCTTAAAACAACTCCAAAGCTGGAACAGCCTGGAAGCACCATCTCATCCTTTTCTGCCTCTACTTGATTCACATGGCCAACAATGCACCTGTCCTTTAACATTTGTCAAACCCAGGGGCAGGGTTAAGGGGCCTGGGCCATCGAGACCCAACACCACACATGCAGTGACCCTCGCCATCTGGTGACCCTCATGGTGCCCTGTGCCCTGATTCTGACCGGAAGCAGGTCAGGTCTTCAGGACTGGAGCTGAGGTCTCTGGTGCCTCCCTGGGCTAGATGGGAAGTGGAAGGACTAGGGGCTCAGCGTCAAAGGTCTGCTCAGTTCTGCTGGAGGTGTGGCCCTGGAGGAGCAGGGGAGGCGTGGGATGGGGACAGTGACACTGTGCACATTCATGCTCGTGCTGTGTGCCAGCCCTCACTACAGCTTGCCCAGTGTCATCTCACACCACCTCATCTTTCCGAGGTGCCCATCACCATCTCTCTCTCATAAAAATGGAGCGGGATGTAGTGATCCCAGCACTTGAGAGGCTGAGGTAGAAGGATCACCCTGAGAGTGAGGCCAGCCTAGTGAGACGCTAAAAACTAACAAGCGAAGGTGGAGATGCAGTTTCCTGCTCTGCAGGACTCTTGAGAGGAACAAATGACCTAAAATCCCCAGCCCAGGAACCAGGTAGTGGAGGATCAACTCTTCCTACCCTGTCCCCCACAAGGTCGAAAAACTGAACCATCAAAGCCAGGATCCCTGAATCCTAGAAGCAGCTCCCCAGCTCCTTGAGTAACAATCATGCAGGAGGGCATGGGAGCTCACAGCCCAGAGTTCACACTCCCACGCACCTTCTCATCTCTTTTGTTTTCTTTACTTGGTTTTGCAGTGCCAAGGATTGAACTCAGGGTGCTCTACCACTGAGCTCCATCCTCACCCCTGCCTTTTACATTTTGCCCAAGGCTGGCTTCCCATTTGTGATCTTCCTGCCTCAGCTTCCAGAGTAGCTGGGATTCAAGGCATGCACCACCACACCCAGCCTTGATTGATCGTTTTTATCTGTAGGGTGCGGAGGATGGAGCCCAGGGCACTGCACACGCTAGACAAGCACTGCACCTGAGTTACACCATTGGCTTCCCTTTTTTTGTTTTTTCTGGGGATTGAACTCAGGACCTTGCATTTGCAAGACAGGTGCGGTGCCACTGAGCTACATCCCTGGCCCACTGGCTTCTCTTTTGATCTTAAGGCACTCAGCAAACACAGGACGGAAGTCCAGCTCTGAGTGGCTTCCAACATAAGCTTGGGCAGAGCTCCCTCCACAAGAGGGGCCCGAGGCCACACCTACCACCTCAGCAAAGTGCTCAAGGTCCCAAAGCCCAGGCTCATCTGCTGGGGATCTGAGGAACCACACTGAACAGCCCCACTGGCCCCAGGCCCGGCCTGGCCTCTCCTCCTTGCACCCTGAGCTCCATGGTCCCGGGCAGCCTTTTCCATGGGGAATGGGGAGGCCCACACAAACACATTTAAATCTTCCTTCTATAAAGACAGTCTGGGAGGGTAAGCATCCCCTTGCTTAGGGGGGACCCAAACAGGTGACATCCAGTGTTCTGGCCTAGGTAGTGACATTGTAGATGTAGAGAACATCAATGACCACAGATGCTGAATTTCCTGCCCTCCTCCTTCAACTTTGAGAACTGAGGAGCAGCCTCATTAAGAAGAGGGCTCGATTAGTGAGTTCAAGGCCAACCTGAGCTACACAGCAAGTCTCTGTCTCAACAATAACAACGAAACAACAATAAAATAATATAAGAAGAGGGCTTGTGCCAGCTGGTGGTGGCACAGGCTTGTGATCCCAGCACTCAAGAGGCTGAGGCAGGAAGATTGCTGTGAGTTGCAGGCCAGCCTGAACTAAATAGGGAAACTCTGTTTCAAAAAACAAAAACAGAAAAAAGAGGGGTCTATATAGTGTCCAGTTTAGGATCCTGGAGCCAGGGCATGTGTACCAGGAAGGGGATTACTGGGCAATTCTCAATAACTGAACATAAACAGTGTATCAGGTAACAACATTGTTGTATCAACAGTAAATTCTTGAATGTTGCAGATCTCCAGCTCTACGGAATGGAAACACACACTGAATTATTGGGAATAAAGGGACACAATGTCTCAACTTATTCTTCAATCCTTCAGGAAGAAACAAAGTGTACATTAAAAAAAGGAACAAACAAAACAACGTAACAAAATGTGGTCAGCTCTCCCCATGAGGTCTAGGGTATTCTTTGTAGCTCTTCTGCTTACTAGGTTTAGTTAGAAAGAAAGTTATATACTTAATACCACTGAGTTGTACACTTTAAAATGTTTCAAATGGGAAATTTGCGAGGTGTGGTAGCCCACACTTTGGGAGGCTGAGGCAGGAGGATCTCCATGAGTTCAAGGCCAGCTTGGGTTACATAATAAGTTCAAGGCCAGATTGAGCTATATAGTGATACCTTCTCAAAAAACCAAACAAAGATAAAATTTATGTTATATATATTTTATAATTTTTTTTTTTTTTATAGAAGAAAAAGGGTG